ACAAGATATAAAATTACTGGCTGCTCTAGGAAGATCATTAAGGAAAACAATTGTTCACAGAAATTGAAAATAGGGTTTTAATTATTTAATATAGAAATTAAACTATTACAGACCAATGCTGGACCAGGCAACTTAATAGAAATTTATATACAAGCGTCTACGAACATTTTAGTTTTATTAACCTGCCTAATTCCTTAATCCAGACCAGCCAGAGGTACCTTAGCTGTGGCTGTAACTTCACTGCTTGGGTTGACTGGAGAGGAGGAAGCTGGGCAGGGCAGGGGAAGGGGCAGGCAGATTTCTGGGAAGTGGCTGGTGGATGGATGGGCAGTCTGGCCAGTGGGGAAGTAGGGGACTCTCACTATGGATGATCCAGGGACAATTCAGGGATCCCCAAAAGTTCTGACAGCAGCTCTGTGTGTTCCATGCAATGGCCCTGGGGGAGTCAGACCTGGGAAGAAGTTATGTTTTCCTGTGCAGCAAATGGCGGCCTAAGGCAGGAAACAAAAAAGGCAGCTGGGGCCACCATCTAAGTGCTACCCTAAGCAGGGTGACCCCCAAGAATGATGTCTTGGAGAGCTTCATGAGAAATGGATGGGAAGTGTTGGTGCAGTATGTGGACCCCCAACTTTGGTGATCCCCCTCCAGAAACCAGGGGTGGCTCCTGAGTGAATAGGAACAGAGAGGGTGTCTGATCTGGGTTAAAACTTCTAGAGAAAGGTTCCCAGCTCTGCCTTTCAAAATTCCTTGGGTGAAGGCAATAGACAAGCAGTGTGAGCAAGGGGCACCAGGCACAGGGGAGACTTAGTGTCAAGGATACAGGTTGTGTCTATATGCATTTCTGCCCATAGCTGCAGCCCACTTGACTGTAGTCTCCGCTGTCCCCCAAGTACCCTATCTCTATCTTATGTGGTCCACCAGTCAACAGCTGTGCGTACAGAGCCCTAGGTGCTGGGATCTAGTCTCTAGGAGATAAGGGCTACAGGATCAGCAGAGGGACTTTTTCAGGGATGGCTGGCCTATTCCCAGCTTTGGCTATCACAGATTGGAAGGAAAGGATATTTAAATGAGATTTTGATTAAACACTGTGAGATGTAATATACTTCATCTACTAAAGTGAAAACTCTGGGGGAAGTGAGACAATGCCAGGGAGAGGCACTGGCCAAGCCTTCATGCAGCTTTGATATGGACTACAAACAAGAAAGTTTTATCCCCACACGTACTTTTCCTATTTTCCAAAATTTCTTCTATAAACAGTTAGTGAAAGTCTTTATTTTAAAGAGAATAGAGGGACATTTAAGAGGGACATTAAGCTAATTGACCAGCTATAGTGGAGATTGCTAGCATGATGAAGGCACTTACACAACATCCATAATAGGTCATGGGCTGGAGGCTATGCAGACAACATCCTTTATGATTGTCAAAGGGCTGGATGGGGTCAGACCTTAGGTCCTCTACTCCTCCCAGCCCTACACAGGTAACTCCTGGTTCCTGTTTCCCCTGGGAATTTCCCAGAGGAGAAGGTGGGGCTAATGAGTTCCCTGCTTAAGATTGAGGTAAAGATGATCCAGCATGGTCCCTTTCTCGCTGTGCTAACTCAGAGGTGATAGCAACCTACAGATGCCCCACCACTACCACTTTTCCCACCTGCGCAGGGTCACCTGACATCAGGGAAATCCAGGCTGGATGTGGGGACAGTAGCCATCACCCTTGTGTTCGATGCCCCTGCCTACCCTCCTGTCTATTGCCTCTAGGAGAGGCATCTTAAGAGTCAGGGCTGGGTGCCTTTCTCAGAGGCCATCCACTGCTGGAATTACATCCTGTCTCCCATTATGACCAATAAATCCCAAGCAATCTTTTTTCTCCTCATAGTTTTTAGGGTTACATAAATTTCACCTATGCAATTTTTTTCATGCTTGAATATATTACAGAATGCCACTTCTGCCGCGGGAGCTAATTGATAATGTGATTTGTTATGTTGCTGGGGCATAATTCAGAAAGTTATTTTAACGCCTTTGATACATGGAATAGCACTCACTGTTTAATATTTCTCACATGAGCAGACACGCTGTGAGGTGAAGAATGTGATATTGCAGATGAAATATTTCCAGAAGCTTTTATTCTTGTTGTTTGGGTGAATGCCAACGTCTTTGTAGAAGAAAGCTCATATTTCCAGTACTGCTCAGATTTCAATTTATCCCCTGGTCGTTAGTTAGCTTTGTGTGTTTTTTCAATTCTGGAACAAGTATGCATATATGTTTTAAAAGGAAAAAATCAAACAAAATAGAGAATCACCTATAACTCTTCCAATGTCATCCAAGATGTTTGCTTGACATATTTGTGTGTCAGGTGAAGTGTAGATTCTCTGAAGTCAGAAAAGCTGTGCAGCCCTTACCCATGCCTGCACTGTTGGTGGTTTCAGGCACCTGACTTCAAGTAAGGTTGGAAAAAAAGAAAAAAGAAAAAAAAATCCACAATTCAATAGCTTGTAACAAGCTGCATACCATTCTGTGTAGCCCGTGAATGTGCTAACTGTCATGATGTGTGGTGTCACAGGGTCCCGCCAAGGTGAATGGTGCTACGTGCTACCTGACTGCTAGGCTTGGGCTACCATCTCAGGTGTCAAGAGTCCCTTGTCCTGTAATGTCAGGACTATGTCCACATGACCCTTGTTCTACCAGCTAATGGAACAAGGCACGGGAAAGTGACTCAGAAGAGGGGGCAGGACATAGAAGGGAATCCATCTCCTGCAGAGACTGATTTTGGTAATCTCTGGCAACACCTCTTGTGTTCCTCCCACATTCCCGGCTGGGGTTTGGTACCTTCTGGATAAAGGGCCTTCAGTCCCTTCCCCTTCTTCCCCAGTGGTGACATTTTGCATAACTGTCATGAATGGCAGAACAGAGACAGTGATATGAGTCCCAGGTGTTGGTGAGATCATCAATCTTCTGCCTATGTGTAGTAGCTCTGAAATACTATCTCTTGTACACGTGGGTATCACTGCCACAGTCAAAATGCGAAGACTCCCTGCTGCTGTTCCTTTATCTGTCCCCATGCTCTGGCAATACTGATTTGTCTCTATACTTTGCTATTTGATAATGTTATGTAATAAAATCTTTTAACGTTTACAGGGGCTTCTATTTCTCAGCAGGGACCCTTCAGGTCCATCTAGATGACTCTATCGATGGCTTATTCTTTGTTTTTGTTTTTTAATACAAGAATGAGTGCTATGGTTCACTCTGGAGTATTCTCTGAGGCCTATATATCAAAAGCTTGGTTGTCAGGGTGGTGCTGTGGGAGACTGTCCCCCATTATGGAATGGTCCTTTAGGTCTTTGGGTGTGGGACCTTGAAAAGGTTTGTGGGACTCCAGCCTCATTCCTATTTTGCCTTCTGGCTATAAAGTGCACACCTCTGCTTACCACTGCTTGCACTGCCTCTTCATAGGCTCAGAGCAAGACTGTGAGCTGGAAGCAGCCTACATTCTTTATCATGGTGAAGGGACACTGGTTCACACTGTAATGCAACATGGATGTTGTCTTCTGCTCACTGACAGATACTTATGCTATTTCTTGTATTTGCTCATCACGAGCAAGGCTGATCTAAATACTCAGGTATATGTATGGGGGTGAAGGATGAGACTCCACTTCTCTGGAATAAAGAAGTACCCAAGACTGCACTTAGGACTGAGGAGGGGTTTGCAGGTCTTCTTTTGTGTAGATCTCTTCTGGCATGGCAGCCGCTTTGTGTGACATTGACTGCATCGTCTTTCTTCAGTTGTTTTAGTAGACATTAATTTATGCTTTATTAAAAAAAAACAGTTTTTGACCACATGTGTCCTGATCTAGGAAGCCTTGGCATCATTCCCTGTGTCCACAGCCAGAGACAGGGAAAGATGACTACATAGGCAAGGTACAGGGAACTCTGAGCAGGTTTGGCACTCTGGAGATGCACTCAGCTGTCAAGAATGCTTCCTCTAGACCCTGTCCTTCCCTTAGATGACATTTCCCCCAGGGCTGCCCATCTGACACCAGGTCTGTGGGGGCAGCTCTGGGCCCCATAAGGCTGAGAACAGGGAAGAGCAGTCAGTGCTTCTGCATCCCTAGCTCTCACAGTTCTAGTTCAGAACAAAGACAGAGCCTCACTTCTAAGATGGTTTTAGTGCCCCCCTCCCAAGAGCTGGTATCCAGAAGTCAGTGCCTGTTGTGAGGTGTGAAAAAGTGGGTGTTTGGGCTCAGCCGGAAGTGACTGAGATTTATCAAAGTCATATGTAGACCCTATGACTGGATCCTAGTGGCATTACAAGAGGAAGGACAAATCAGGGGAGGCATACCCCCTGCCTCTCACTGTCAGATGTGTACAGCACCTTAGGACACAGAACTCTTACCAGCAAAAAGGCTGTTGCTGGGTACAATCCCCCGGGGTTCCAGGACCATGAAGCAAAATTACCTCCTGCTCTTCCTGTAGTGTTGTGCCATTTGCAGAGAAAACGGGAAGTGGTTCCACCCTGATCCCTTAGCAGAGGCAGCAGTCAGGGAAGCTAATGCAACACACTGGGACTTCAAGCTCCTGCCCTATGGACTGCTCGTCACTCTCCTCCTTTCCTGGGTGGAGAGCCAGATGAGCAAAGAGGAGCCACAGCTGGACTTTGTAGTTCATAGCTGAAAGGGCCCTCCAGGACCTCAGGGACTACTCTTTGACTGCCATATCAGGAAAAGCCTGTTTGGAATTGCAGGAGGATCGTACATACGATAGGTGTTTTCCCGAGAGCCCTGACACAGCAGCCAGGGGAGCAGGGGGCAGGAGGACCACACACATCTCCACAGCTGTGGGGAAGTATGGTGGGTCTCAGTTCACACAAGGAGAGCTTCCTCCTGTCACTTTGATGGTGCTGGAATGTGCTGGTGATCATAGCCAGATGCACCAACTCTGTCCTGGACCTCAAGAAACACACCGTGCACTTAGTTTTGTGTGTAAACTTTAGTTGTTTACTAAAACACTGAAACCAAAAAACAAACTTGCAGGATAGTAAGAATGAGCAGGGGCTTAGGTGCTAAACCCAGCAACAGCTGTCTTCTCAGGACTATGTGTTGTGGACAGAAAGACAGACATCAGGCTGTGTGTGTGTGTCAAGGCTGGGATGAGCCCCAGAAGGTGGAAAAAGGTAGTGGCCCAAAAGACTCCAGGGTTTAGCTCACACGATGGCTTGGTGAGGCAGCCCGTATAGAACCAAGCCGAGGGCAGTGGGATGTGACTCAACGTGCTGAGGCTGCAACTCAGAGAATATCTCTTCCTTGGAGACCCGGGAAACCACATCTGTGGAGCGTGAGACAAGAGCCGTGAAGCCCAGAGCCCTCTGGCAGCAGCTTGTGTCCTCCTAGGATGTCCAGCCTCACCAAGGGTGTGGTACCAGGGAGAGGGGAGCATCGGGGAGAAGGCCAGTGCTTCTGGCTACAGGGGACCACAAGTTCTCCCTGCCATCTCCTGTTGCTCCTTGATGCTGTCAAACTATGTGGTTGTCAATGACAGCATCAGAACGTTTTCAGGCCTGACCCCAAGCTCCCTGTCTACCTCCCCGGGACTCCCTGGAGCATCTTGAACCTGGAGATTGGCCCTATAGCTTCCTCTGTGATGCCTAGGAACTCTCCTATCCTGGGCAGGGCAACTCATGGGTGTGAGCATCATTTGGTCCCTTCCTTCAAAACACGTGCTACATGCTTCAGCGTGGGCCCCTCTGAGATGATAGGAACTAGAGGACCGATGCTGACAGCAGTGGTCACGAGGCCTGCACAGATTGCCCTTTCTGCATTTACGGCAAAGCAGCATGCTGACCACTCAGCAGAGCTGGAGGAGTAGGCAGTCATGTCCAGTCCTGTTTCTGGTTTGTTAGGAAGGGGTGCCAGACTTCACCACCTTTGTCCACCTCTCTGGTCCCTCTTCCTTTACTTGACTGCTCAGTCACTTGATCTCACTTACTCTCACAATTCTATTCACCCAGTCACTAACTCACAACTTCATTCATTCTTCACTTATTCACCCCTCAACCTACTAGTTTACTCACTAACACTCATGCATTCACTCATTCACTCCTCACTCATTTGTTCTTTCGCTCACTTGAACTCATTCACATATTTAACTCCCCTCTTTTTTTCCCTGGCAGCTACATCCCAGGCACTGGGGAGCACAAGATTTTTCAAAAGTTAATCTCCTACTGAGTTGTATTGAATGCATTTCAGATTTCTCAATTTTAAACCCTCCCAGGATAAATCTCTGTGAGTTATGGATCATTTTTACTTTAGTGTATTGCTAAATGCAATTAGCTAGAGTCTTATGTGATTTTTTTTTACACTAGTATCCACATGTGAAATTTATCGGCAAATCCTTTCACTGCAGCTGGCACATCTTGGCACAAGGCTTGTGTGAAGGATGGGTGGGTGGAGTTTGCCTCATCCAGAACCAGCAGCATCCTGCAGCTCTGCCTCAGGATGAGGCAAAGGATGTCACAAAGTTTACAGGGACAGGGGATGCAAGTAGGGTGACCCTCCTGGCACTAGCAGGACGCACCCTCTGTCTGGGAGTTCCTCCTCCTAGATGTTTTCTTGTCCTGGCTTAGGAATGATCAGGTGGCCTCATGGGGCCCATGGACTGGGTAGCATAGATGGTCACACCCACTCCCAGAGTCCTCTCTGGGCAGAGGGGAAGTGCAGGGACCAGGCAGACCTCCCCATCTCTTCATAGAGAGTAGAGTTCAGCCCTCCGCCTGCCCCTCCCTCTCTCTCGCCTTTTCTCTCTTGAAGTGGGGAATGCCCTGTCCCTGAGGGCAGTGGGGTGCAATGTAACCACTGGTGATTTATACAGACAAGCAGATGGGTGGGCAGTCTCTGCCTTACCTTGGTTAACTGTTTCATTGCCTATCTTCTGAATGAGACGAACTGTTTTCCCAAGTGGCTTGCCAACTGCTAACAGGTCTAGGGGGGGAAGAAGTTCCTTCAGGTGAGCTATGGACACCCTTGGCAGGCTGATAGCGAAAGCCCAAGAAGACTTTGGGATAGCCGGGGTGCCCACTCACTATCCCACAGGATGGCCGCCCTCAGCGCATTGTCCTGCAGAAGCGTGGGCCACTGGTTAGCCACGATGCTCTCAACCCCCACCAGGCTCAGAAGGATGGCAGTCTCGATAGGCTTCTCCAAGGACTGCTGTGATGCACTGTGGGGATACATAGATTGGCTCCAAGGGGCTGATGGCTTTCCATCCATCCTTCCCTGCACCAGCCACTAGAATGCATTTGTGGACCAAGGCTTTTATAGTTCTGAATCTCACCCACAAAAGTGAAATGTCATTTAACAGGAAATAGCATTTTCGAGTATTGTCAAATCCATCTGGTGGCAGCTTCCGGCCCTAGCATGGAACCCACCAGCAGTGTGAGTTGGTAGCATGAGGTGGGAAGTGCCAGCCAGCCAGCTCTGGTAGTCCACACATCCCTGGGGTGAGCTGGCTGTACCAGCTCTTGCTCTTAACACTTCCTTCCCATCCACAGGCTCTTAATGACACAAGGACACTAGGTACCTCTTGTTCTCTGAAGACTCTACCTTCCGCTTGAGGCTCTCGGAGGACCTTGCCAAGTCCAGCAGGACTATCATCTGGCATTCTGCAGAACACAATGAGGCTCCTCAGTGGTCACCCACACTATTACCAGATCCCCATGGAGCTGCACTCTAATCAGCCCGAGGCTTAGATTTTTGCAGGTTCTTTTCAAGTACCCAGTGAGCATACACTGGAGATGGGAAGCAAGCTACTCAGGGCCACCTCTAATTCTTCTTTGTATAGTTGGCTCTGTTCCCCCATCACTTATAGAAGCTTCTGGCATTTCATACTAATGCAAAGAGAGGAGAGAGAGAGAGAGAGAGAGAGAGAGAGAGAGAGAGAGAGAGAGAGAGAGAAAAGAGGGGCTGGCAAAAAGAGGGCTTTGGATGCTGACCAAGCGTACCACCTCTCAGTTTGCTATAGATATAAATGTTTTGGGGATATGAGATTGTCACGAGTACTTTGGTGTGAGTGGGCCACCTTTGACAGGCATGCTCATTGAGACAAGTGGAACAGTATAGTCCTAATGTGACTATCTATGGGACCAACATGGACACAGGGGTAAAGGCTCTTGTCCCTGAGCTCTGGAGATGGGCTTTGGCAACAGTTCCCACAGGGAAAATATCCCTCTGTGAAGAGATATGGTCTCTTAGGGATAGTGGACACCAGGAAAGACTGCCACTTTTGCCCATGCCTCATGTGTCTCCTAATTTATGTGATGCATTAGTGATAACTAGTCCTTCTAAGAGGGCTTTCTCCATTACTGGGATAAGAAATGTCTTCGGGATGTTTCTGATGATGGGGGTTCTGCTCACTCCACTGGTGTATGACCAGCACATGCCCAAGGCTACCAAGGGTTGGAGGTAGACCTGGTCAGCATGTGTTCCAGCCATGGTGGACACAGGTGCCTTGGTGTGGAAACAGCTTCCAGACAGTTGCTGTATAACCTTGCAAGGGGCCATATGCCTCATGAGGGAGGAAGGGGGCATCTCTGAGGGCTTGAAAAGGCTTGCCCATTGGCTATGCATGGTGGCTGGCCCCAAGAAGCCCAATAGAAGCAGCCTCTTATGAGTGGGGAAAAGACCTAGGGGCATCTAGGAGGAATATGGCTATGTTGCTGAGATGACTGTGGACCCCAAAGACCAGCACACTGCCGTACATTTTCCATATGTCTGAACATCGAGCACACTGCCATGCATTTTCCATATGTCTGAACATCGAGCCTGGTGTCTTGTAGTGCTGTGTGATGCCAGTGCCATGTTATATGGCCTTCCTGGCAAGGTGCCTGTAAGCACACTGTACTCAGCACACCACCTGGTACTGCATCCTCTACCTGGCCTCTAAACCCCTTCGGTCCCTGGGATGTCTGAGTACAGCACTTCTGGGCTCACTGGCCTCCTGGGTCTGTTGTTAGTAGACACACAGAGAGAACAGGGCTCCCAAAACCCCCATGTTCAGACTGGACAAGTTCTGTAGGGACCTATCAGCCTCAGCCATAGGTGACACTCCATACCTGACTCTCATCTGTTGTGGGTCTGGAGATCTCAACAGGGGCCCTTTGTATATAAGGAGAGCTGAGGGCAACCAGGAGGGCTAGTGGCCCTGTGGCTGCCATATCATTGTTGGAAGGAGGGCAGGGTCAGTTTTCAGATAGGTAGAAGACAGGTTAGGGTGGGATACTATGCCTTCCTGAAGAATCACAAGCCTTGGGATCCGGATCAGGAAGTAGCTGGCCTGCTATACTCCCTGTGGTCTCACTGGAGCCCACAGGCTCTGGCTGCGAGGCTGTCAATGGGGGAGGGGCCTCACCTTGCAGATCCATGGCTACCAGTCTTTCCACTACCAGGTGGGACAGGAAGCCCTCCATCCCGTAGAAGAAAAAGCCTCTGCAGCTGTCCAGTACCTGCTCCCAGTCAGTCTGGCTACATAGGGTGAAAACAGCAGTGGGTGTGATCACACATCTGGGCTAGGCGCATGCTTCTGCAGCTGCCTCCTGCAGATGTTTGCCAAGCAAGGAATGTCCCCTGCCACTCACACAAAAACTTTTATACTGCTGTGGGGCCCAAATGATTTCTGTTTTCCCAGTGTATAGCTGGCGTCAGATGGATTTTCTCTACCAAACATGTATCTCAAGCCAGTGGGGCTGGCTCTGGGAAATACTATAGTACCTCTAATATGGGAAAGAGGATCTAGGCAGGGTCTTTGTCACCCTCCATGTCCTACCTCCACCAGCTCTGCTCTCTGTGCTCCACCCCAGCCCTGCCTAGGCTTACTCCTGTACCTATATACCAACTGCCTTGGCTCCCCCCTGCCCTAGTCCCCATATACATTAAGGGGCAGGGATGACAATGCATGCCCACAGGGTTCAGTGACATGGAACTACCTGACCCTATGCTAGTAGTAAACCTTCTTTGGGTGATTTGGCCTGAAAGGGACCTGAGGTCACCTGGGATAGAATATGTGTGGGTGAGTGACCCTGAGGTTATAACAGCTTCCCTGGCCTAGTGCTATGCCTGAGGCTCTACAGGAAAGATCTATCCAGCAGGGAAGATGTCATACCAGCCTCTTTCGTCAGTTTTTGGAGACCCAAGTCCCAACCTTGTTACATGATAGCTTCCCAGATGTCCTGTCCAACGTGCAGTGTATGTGTCTCGGAACTTCTCCAAGATTTCCTGGGTTATGGAGACAGGATTCAGTACTTCTGCAGGAAGAATTGAGACAGACAGGCTGTGGCTTCCTCATCAGGGCATGATGGTGGGGCCCTGTGCCACTGGTATGGGACAGAGGAGTGACTGTTAAGCACAGATGGGAATGCTAATGCCTCTCCTTTCCTCTTCAGATGGAGGAATTGGTAGAGGAGGCTAATCCGTAGAAAGAAGAGAGGGGAGGAAGAAGAGGAGGAAGGAGGAGGCCCCAAAGCATTTAGAATGGCAAGGTGTGTTCAGACCCAAAGCTCCAAGACTACTTGAGGGAATGAGAGAAGCTGGCACAAGGCCTAGGTGGCCTCGGCCTATATGCCAAGGGCCCACGTGATGTGCTCACCTTTGCCCTCGGCCTCCTCATAAGGGTCCACAACAACTGCTCTGAGTTAAGGACAAACAAGAAACAAAAGCAGAGTCCTGGGGGGCCGTGAGCACTCATAAAAGGATACACTTGATAGTGTCGCAGTCGATTAGGATGCATTCGGGTGGGATGACCCGGATGGTGGCGCTCTGCAACACAGAGAGAGGCATCAACACCTGGGGCCACCAGCTGGGCCTTGGTGGATCTGGTGGGCCTTACCAAACTCAAGCTGAGAGGAGCAAGGCGCCTCTAGGCTCCCACCCACCTACCTTCCAGCCTTTCTTTCCTGGACTTTTCTTCTTGAATTCCTTGCTTTTGATCTCTTTCTTCACACTGCCTTCTGTGGAGGACAATGACAATTGTGATGTGTCAGCAGGTGCTACTTAGCTCAATTTTGAATGTCGTGAGTCTGAAGCGGTGAGAACAATTAGTTTTCATTTTTGTCATGTCAAAACACAAAGCTTCTTCGGTCCAAGAAACGCTCTTGAGGAACGATTAGCCCTCAAGGCTTCGAGGCACACATTTCTGACCACTGACCTTTCACATGAGGAACTCACCAGAATGCCTGTAGGATTTGGGCCCCTGATGGTCCCAGGGTCTCTGAATAGAGACTTTAAACCTGTGTCCTTTCTGTGCTGAGCTGTCCCCAGTGAGCAAGCAGGTCTTCATATGGATGGCTCCAAGCCCTACTGTGACCATCTTCTCCCTTCTCCACACTGGACCTTCTCCTTTCTCTGCCTTCCAGGGTGGTACTTCCACAGCGACAGGCATGGCTCTCTGCCATCCTCATTTTTCCAAGGACACTTCTCAGGAACACACTAAGAGGCTACTTGGTTCTAATGGGTCCTCTGTCAGAGCCAGACCTGGCCTTCACACAGGCCCTCAGATACATCACAGTCTTGCATTTCCTGAGGCCTTTGCCCTACCAAATAGCTACTTATTTGCTTTCTAAGTGGACACCAATTTGCGCTTTGCAGAATTTTCCAGAAATGAAGGTTATCTGCTGTGTGCCCTCTTTTTGAGTTTTTCCGTGGGCAAATCTCATTGATGATATAGTTCCATATGCCATCCATCCAAGAGGGTGCTCAAATGACCATCAAATGGCTGCTCAGTTGTAGGGAGTAGAGGAAGACCTTAATGAATGTGTGCTGTTGACATGGGCATGGCCATGTCAACCCCATATCCACCCCATGTCCCAAGGAAGGGCTCTGAAGGGAATGGCAAAGTCTTCCTCTAGTCCATATGTGGATGTTGGTAGTGTGTTAAGAAAATGTCCACTGTGGCTTTCTCCCTCCAGGAATTTACAGTCTGAGAACTGCTCCCCTACTACGGCTCCTACCGAGATTAGCTAATTTGTTTAGCTCTACATAATAATTTTTGCCTCCTTTTTATCTATCTGTAATAACCCACCTCCATGTCCAGCTGTGTGTGAAAACCCTACCTCTCTCTGTTTAACTGTATATAAAAACATGCTGAGCTTCCAATATGGTCCTGTGACTTCTCCATCAGGGAGTCCAGTCCACCTAATCTCAGCCTCTCTCTCCTCTCTCTCTCTCTCTCTCTCTCTTTCGCCTTTCTGTGTGTGTGTGTGTGTGTGTGTGTGTGTGTGGTCATATCTTTATTCCCTCACCAGTTCCAGTCAGATCAAGTCCACAAAACTGTGCAAGGACACGAACCTGAGTGTTTCAGTTCAGTGGCTTCCAGATTTGGGCTGTCACAGGGAGCTGTAAAGTCTAAGATTTTTATTATGTCTACACAGGCCTTCTTGTTACTTGTATAAACACTAAGGAGAGGATGCATGGGTCACCTGTGGCCCAGTGTGTTATGACCCTCCTGACCATGTCCCAAGGTAGGTCTCCTGCATGCCATCCCCATCAACAGTGGGCAAGCATGCATCTTCCCCATTACTTGTAACAGTAGACATTTAATTTAGTTATTTATTTAAATTTTGAATCATTCATCTTTTACTTGAATTAACAAACACAATTGACGCATGGTAGGCTACTCTGAAACACTGTGAGCTAGTGGAGCTGAGCCTGCCAAACAGTCACACCACACAGTCCCATTGCTGCTGCTTGGCAAAAATCACCTAAACCCTACTCTTAGCCACTTTCAAAAAAAATTTAAAAAGCAAAACAAAAAACATAGCATTGCATTGGCCACAATCACCATGTCACTCAACCAAGCTCACAAACTTTTTTTCTCCAACTAGGATTTTGTGCCCTGGGCTAGTAGCTCCCTGCTTCCAGCCCATGCCTACCCTTTTCTCTCTGCTGTGGAGTTGAACTTTATAAGACTCCCAGTGTGAGTGACATCATGTATGTTTGTTGTCTGTGCCTGGCACAGTGTCCTCCAGGCTCATCCATGTTGCCTTAAAGCAAGGCCTCCTTCTCTTCTATGGCTGAATAGTGCTCTATTTTGCAGTAAGGTCCATCTTCTGTAATGGTTCACCCAGTGATGGTCACTTAGGCTGCGGTGAATGGGAATGCCACAGACACGAGATAACATGTGTTCCTTTGCCCGGTTGATTCCCATGGTATATACCCATCATTCCAAAATCGTTCATCCTGTGATCATCCCTGGACACAGAGGCCTCCAGTCCTCACCCACAAACCTGTTCAGCTACGGCCATCCTAGTGGCTATAGATGTGTGTGGAGTTTCAGTAAGCTTCCCATGATCAGCTTCATCTCCCATCCCCACCAATGGCTTGGGTTGTTCTTAGTGATTGCTTGAGGGTTTAGTTTACATTTTATCACAGTCTCACTTTAAGTAGCACTACCCTGCAACAGTTATGGCACAGGACCCTTGCATAGCTTGCATCATCCCCCTGCCTCAGCTCTTGCCCTGGTCTTGTCACACATATTACAATATCCCACAAGTATTGCTATTATTTTTTTTTCACAAGGATTTGCTCAAAATATTTTAAATGGATTTTTTAAATGGAATAAAAACAGTTCTCACCCCCTTACACCATGGCTGCTTGTTTCTTTCTCTGACCTTTGGGTTTACCATTGCTGGCCTCATTTCTGCTGACCTCCATAGGGTACTCTGTAGGCTATTTTAGACAGGTGTCACTTCTCGATATGTTGTCCCCAAGTTTCTCAGCTTTCCCTCCAGGCCCAGCCCACAAGCTCCACCCTCCACCCCCGATATTCCTGCTGTTTGTGCCCATGTTTGAGCCACAAGACTCTAAGAAGCACCTGGGCCGTATGTGGTGGTTTGAAAGAAAATGGCCCCCAAAGGGAGTGGCACTCTTAGGAGGTGTGGCCTTGGGGAGTAGGTGTGGTCATGTTGTGGGGAAGTGTGTCATTGTGGAGGCAGGCTTTGAGGTCTCACACATGCTCAAGATAACACCCAGTGTCTCAGCCCACTTCCTATTGCCTATTAGTTAAGATGTAGGAATTAGCTTCTTCTACAGCACCATGTCTGCCTGCACACCACCATGTCCTACCATGAGGACAATGAACTAAACCTCTGAAAAATGTAAGCCACTCCCATTAAAAGTTTTCCCTGACAGGAGTTGCCTCGGTCATGGTGTCTCTTCATAGCGATAGAAACCCTGTCATGGTATTTTGTTTATGACCTAACAGATAAAGTTTTCCTGAAGAGCAGAGTGCAAATCTAGCCATACTAGTCAGCCATAGAGGCCAGGTGATCTGAGGAAGCAGTCTGAGGACAGGATGACCCCCCATGGTCTGAGCATTGGTAGAGATAAGACCTCTCTAGTGGTGACTGGCTGCTTCACTTCTCTGAACTTTCTGATTTCACCCCCTGATAGCTGGCTCTGAGTTATTATTAATATCAATTAGAATTTGTGCTACAAAACCCTAACTAAGACACCACGTATCTCCCCCTCTTGGGGGTGGGGGGTGTAGCCATACAGGGTTGGCTGGTTCCTTGCTTTTTCTTTTTCAGTTATTTGTCATCTTGGTTGGAAGAATGTGGCTGGCATTATTTTATCTGGAGTAGCAACAGATGTCTAATTGATTTTTAACTTAATTTGGTATATATTGATCAGTGCATGCTTTTCTGTTTTTGCAGTCCTGGGTTTATAACCAAGGGCCTTGTTCACCCTAGGTGAATGTTCCATCATTGAGCTATATTTTCAGCTCCAATTTGGTATTTATCGATGGACAACATGCATTCCAAAGTGGCAGTATGCCCCGGGAACAGTTCAGAGGACTTTCACAGACTGAAGTATCTTGCAGTCTCACAGGTGATGGTCCCCAAATTCTTGTTTTCTACCTTGCCCAGGCCTAACTTGGGGCCTGCCTTCCCTCACTGCCCTTCAACATCTAGCCAAGTGGTTCTGGGTATCAGACTTTTTGACCAGCAGGATTCTTCTTTGCTATGGTATCAGCACTCATGAAACATGGACTCAAGTGGGCTTCCATGCACAGTACCAAGTGTCTATTCTAGAAATGATTTTTGAATGAATGTGGGCCAAGGGAAATGTTAAAATACTTGGCAATTGTTTTCAGTGCTAGCTCTGGAACCCAGGGCCCTGCACATGCTAGTCAAGCACTCCACACTGGGCTGCACCCCAGTGCCTCACTCCCTACCTTTTGACAGGAGTCAACAATGATTTATCTGAAACGTAATTTGAAAATTCCCATTTTAAAACTAAGCATTACTGTGACTGAGGCACTACTCACCTAGTTCCTCCTTGTGGAGACGATTCCACAGCATATGGAGAGAAAATTCCCTTGACAGGGAGGTGACCTCATCGAGCATAGAGAACCCCTCAAGGGGCAACTCTAGTAGAAGCTTGTCTACAATCAGGATCATGTACTCAGGATCAGGCTGCCCTGTGGAATGGAAATGACAGCAGCTCAAACTCGGGGAGAGACCAGCTCTAGGGACCGGGAAGACCCTGGATCTTGAGCGTCATCTCTCCAAGCCCTGACTTTGTGGCTAGGGGACTGGCCTGGTGGCCGCTGTCCCTGGCATGGAAATATGAGGGAAAAGTGTGGCCCCAGTCCAGCTTACAGAGGCATAGCTACACTGATGGCAGCCACTGGTTTTGATGGTGACAACAAGCTCACAACGTGAACCTGGATAGAGCCCATACTTAGTGGCACACCTTATAGTCTCAAGACACATGATTCCCATGTTCAGGCTGATGAAAACTCCTCCCAGATGACTTTCCAAACAGTGAGTTCTTCAGAGGGTCCTGGAAGGAAGGCTCACTCTCATGACCCAACTGGTAACCTCTTTCTGTCTATACATGTGGGTCACTGACTGATGACATACTGCCGTTCTGCCTGCAGTTACGCTGGTACCCAAGAGTGGGGCCACAGGCACTTCAACTGGGTTTTCTTAATTTTCAAAACCAGAACAGGTTTGCTTGAAACCCAGCAGTGACTCTTCGTTCCTATTTTTAATCCTGGGAGTTTAATGCAAGGTGGAGACTCAGTCTCAGTGCCCAGGACTTTCTAGGGCTGTGATCCTCAACCTATGGGCCATGACCCCTTTGGGGACCAAATGAATCTTCATAGGGGTTGCCTGAGGCCATTGGAAAACACCAATATTTCCATTACAATCCATAACAGGAGAAAAATCACAGTTTTGAAGTAACAATGAAAATAATTTTGTGGTTGGGGGTCACCACAACATGAGGTCACCGTATTAGGAAGACTGAGAACCACTGACCTGTGGCCTTTCATCTAAACTGGGGTGATTGTGTACTGGGGACCTCAAAGGGCCCTGTGTAGCACTCGGCAGTGGGACTTGTTTGGATTTGGAACCTGTGACTCCTGACCCACTTAGGTTTTGCCTAATGGGAGGGCGAGTACCCACACAGGCTCCTGAGGTCCCAGTACTGGCCTGTGGGTCTGTCCTGGCTACTCACCTGAAGGGAGAGACAGCTTCCTTTCCTTCTCTTTGCCTTTGTGTTTCCCTCCATCAGCCATAGCCGCTAACATCTGTGCTCTGAAATTAGAGTGGGAAGATACTCAAAGGCTATGGGAAGCACCACTCAGCCTGTTTCTCAGCCAACAATTGCTGCGTTGTTTGGGTTTTTTAAGACATAGTCACTCTCTACAGCTCTCCCTGACTCACAAATCTCAATGTAAACCCAGCTGGCCTCAAACTCACAGAGATCCACCTGCCTCTGCCTCCTGAGTGCTGGGGTAGAAGACACATGCTCCCATACCCAGCAATCGTTGAGGGCCATCTCTACACCAGGGGAATTTCACAGAGTGTCAAAAAGAACAGGGACCACAAGATGGCCTCCTGTTGCTAGAGAAGAAGGCCACCTCTACCTTCTTCCCAAATGAATGCCAGAGGCTGAGTCCTGGGGACTTGCCAGTTCTCCCACACCACACTCAGACCAGGGTGTTAGTGGGGCAGGGGCAGCAGCTGCAGCTAGATGCCTATCTACAAAACACACAGAAGAGCTAAGCTCTCATGTCTGTCCTTAGTAGAGACAGGATGCTCAGAGACCAGCTTCCACATGGAGGGAGATTCCAGAAACCAGCTCTGGCTTTCTGCTCATCACAACTGGGGACTCAGCTCACATCAGTACTTTGGGGGTCCAGATCTGGGGTTAAAGCTGGCCTTCAGCTACACCCAGATTATCTTTCCTGTAGGCTCCAGATTCCGGTTACTGTGGGACTTGTAGGCCATGCACAACAGTCTCCAGCTCCTTCTGCTCCAGCTGGAGACAACTGCCTATCACCTGGCGTCAGGAAGCTGGCTGCCCCTGGGAACTTTCAGAGGAGATGACAAGCTGATACCTGGCATCTGGGAAGATGAACAGGGGGGCGATGGGCTTCAGATATTCCTCCATTTGCTCCAGGATGCTGTTGAGCCTCTGCATACACAGGTCTCGCTCCGAATCATGCAAGGTGTCCGTTTTCTGTTCCAACCCAAACCACACCCTATTGTCCAGGGGTGTTTAGACATGGCTTCCACCCAATCAGGAAGACCCCAGGGAAAGAACTGAGCTCCAACCCTGCCAGATAGAGTGCTGGCATGCTCTGGTCCTTCCCAGCCCAATGCTCCCAGTGGTTTTCCTGAGGCTATCCTGACATCTCAGCCCTGCCCCTGTCATCTGATGACACTATGGAGTATCCTGCTGGTAGGGATAGGCCCCGAACAGCTAACCCTATGCTCTGCAGAGAAGAAGTAACTAGACACCTTCACTGGGGCCAAACTAAACTCAAGGACTCAGAGAGCTCCCTACCTTTCCCAAGCCTTCACTTTCATCCTCTTGAGATCTGTACCCAGAATCCTGGTCCAACCCAACTTTAGAGCTCTGGCTTTCCCTGGGATGGACTTCAGTCTGCAATATGGCTTGGGAGCCTTAGGCCTCAAGTGCTTGGGTTCAAGGTCCTATCTTTGCTGTGTACCTGGGTCTGTGTCTGCTTCCGGAACCACTGGACCCTGGTCAACAAGTCTGAGAAGGCAGTTGGACTCATAGTCACCCTCATTACCTTGCAGTGACCTGTATGTAGAGACATACCCATGGCCTTTACAGGGCTCAGAGCCAGCTACTAGGGGTGTGTGAACAGGCAGAGCTTTAAGAGTCCTTGTGGACATGTTCAGAAGTGAGGTATATGATGGGAAGGTCTTCGCATAGAGTTCACCATTCCTCTCTGGGCAGCACAAGGGCTGGTACCCAGAACGTTCAGGCAGAGGTAAAACACAGTGGTGACTGACAAGGGAGCTCTTGGGAGGTATGGATCCTTTGGATCCCTGAAAAATGTGTGGTGATTCTGATTTCTATTATGGGCTTAGCCTCCCCTCACCCCTTCATCTGGAAGTGACAGGTCCTGCTGTGTGGTGGGGATTTCTCAACCCACTGCAATCCATCTGGAGTCAATGGGAGGAGCCCTGCTTTCACCCAAGCTTACCGCCCACTGGTATCATTTTCCCCTTGGGTGCAGGCATGGACTTTGGTCTCTCAAAGGCAGCGCCATACAGATAGGACCTGTAAGTAGAGTGAAGTCACAAGCCCATTCCCAGAGGAGGTAAACAGCAAGGCACACAGGACAGGTCTCAGGAGCACATCAAGATAATCTGCAGCTGGCACCCAACAGGTACCTTTCCTTGTTTACTTTGCCAGGCAGAGGACTTGAAATTACCAAAGACCCAGCAGCGTAGGCCTACACAGACCTAAGAGAAAGACCCTGTGTGGGCACAGATCACAGAGAGCCTCCATCCCAACACAGTCCCCACCATCATGGAAATCCATCCTGGCCTTTTCCAGAAGTCAGAAGAGGATTTGCCATGTTTCTAGATTGAACAAGTGAGTGCCCACGCCAGTCAACTGGGCTAGCTGCGTCTGTCCATCATGCTTTCTGGATGGCCCAGTCTGCCTCAGGGTAGGAGCTGAGGTGTGGTAAGCTTGCTGTGCCCATGCCTCCTTGCTTGGCTTCTCAACACAGCAGAGATTTACAGCGAAGGGAGGGGGGGAGACCTCACCTGTCTCGTGAGTGATGCAGAAAGAGGATCCGGAACATGGGTGGAATCTCATTCAGGAAGGTGAAATGCTGATCTGTGACACAGAGGCCCTGCCATGCCTGCGTGTGACAGGGGGGAAAAAATCACTCAGGACCCAGGACCATTGCTCTCCCCCAGGTGGTTTGGGCCGTGGCATGCATTACCACCACAAGAGGGCAGCAGAGGCATTAGAAGTTCACTGACTCCTCTTAAAAACAAAGGAAGGAAGGAAGGAAGGAAGGAAGGAAGGAAGGAAGGAAGGAAGGAAGGAAGGGAGGGAGGGGAGGAAGGAAGAAAGGCATCCTGCCTACTTGCTGCAGTGGTTTCCAGACACCTTAAATAGCTTCTCTTCAATAATGTCCTTACTGCTGGGTGGTGGTGGTGCACACCTTTAATCCCAGCACTGCAGATGCAGGAGGATCTTTTCGAGTTCAAGGCCAGCCTGGTTCCAGGACAGCCGGGGCTACACAAAGAAACCTTGTCTTGTCTCGAAAAACAAAACAAAAAGAAGGTCCTTACTGCTTCCTCCAGCCTATCTGAGAGCCTCCACTTAGTCCTGAGCTTGCTGTTGGTTTGCTTCAGACCCCAGTTCTACTTTCCTGTGAGGATTGTACAGGGAAAATCTGAGCAATCCTAGACACTACACACATAAGGGTCTCTACTGTCAGTGGCAGGCAGCCAGCATGAGCCCTGGGGAGCATCCTGGGATCTCCTGGGTGAGTTGCTAATGCTCATGGCTTTAAGACAAAGCTTTGAGTTGGAAAAACTACAATCATTTCTTAGAAAACTTTTATCAAAGAATAAGCAACAGGAAGCCATGGAAACTCTACATAAAGCACCTGGTGGAGTTTTCACAATGGCTGTACCCACTCGGCAGGTGAAAAGATAGCTCCTCCACATAGAGGCTGTGAACAGACTGCTAACGGAGGAGGTTTGTTTTTCTGCCTGGCTATTGCCATGCAGATTCATACGGTAGGTAGCAAGCTCTCCTTGCTGCAGGATGTTCTGTCGTGTGAGCATACCTCTTGTGGTGCTTTGGATGAGAATGGCCCCATAGGCCTATATATTTGAATGCTTGGTCCCAGTAGGCAGGATTAGGAGATGTGGTCTTTGTTGGAGGCGGTGTGTCACCAGGTGTGAGCTTTGAGGTTTCGAAAGCACACGGCATTCTCAGTGAGCTCCCGGCTTCTGTTCTTACATCATGTCTGCCTGCCACCATGCTCCTGCCATCATGGTCATGGACTCTAACCCTCTGGAACCATGGCCCTCAGACGAAATGCTTTCTTTTATAAGTTGTTTTGATCATGGTGCTTTTGTCATGGCAATAGAATAGTAACTAAGACAAGGCTGCTGTTGCCCTGGGTCTGGTAGGTTTTTGTTACATAGACACACTTGGGCAGGGTATGGGTGATGACACCCATGGAGTGGTATCTTTGGATGTCAGCTGGGACAGGGCCTCCAGGTTGTCTGCGTAGGGCTGGCTTGAGCCACAGTTGCGGTGTGGATGATGGAGAGAGTGCTTAATGTTCCCTGCAAGAATTACAGTTTGGCCTGCTGCTCTTTTTGTATCCGTTGAGGTTGTGTGTGTCACTGGGTGGACAGGACTTCTTGCTAAGTTGACCCCTGTGTCAGTATGAGGTCCTTCCATCTCTAGTAACACAGTGTACCGTGTCTGATCATCTGAGCTTTGAGTTTTAACCTTCCTGTCCCCATGTGTAAAATGCTTCTTCTAAGCAGTTGCATCAGGAGTCTGTGGTCTTTTTTTTTTTAAATCTAGTCTCTGACATAGAGTGTCACTCAACAAGTATTTATTGTCATTGCCAATACACTCAATAAGTACAGCTACTGCCGTACTGTTCTTTACGTACAGAACCACAGGTTTTTATAATCCACTTGCTTTCTTTTGAATTGATTTCCACTCTTTCTGTTATTTTGATACACATGGTTCTAATGGCTCTGCTTGGGGACTATGGCTGTCACTGTGAACTTGTGAATCACACCACTTCTCTGGTGGCCACAGGACCTTAGACTCTTAAATTCTCCTCCTTCCCCCTTCCCCTTGCACTCCTTTTAACGCATGATTTGCCTCGAGCCTAACAGGATGCTGTTAGGCTCTGGTCTCACCCACAGCACTTGTTTTGAGTGTTATGAACTCCTCTCTCAGGTCTCCAGACTATCCTGCTTGTTCATAGTTCTGTCTGGGACTGTTTCCCTTATGTCTCCGAGTTTCCCTTCTATTGCCTGGCATAAATTAGGTATATAAAATTGCCCCTGTTCTCTTTCATGCCCCTCTGAAGGCTACATGCCAATCTTTCTGACTGCTGGGGGGGATTTTCCACATAGAGTGCCACTAACCTGGCCCAGAGTTCTCACTACTCTGAGGTACTCAGAGGTGGTTTTTCCATGGGGTTTGAGATGGGGTAGGGTCGCCTGGATTTCTGAGTCTGTGGTTGTCACTAGTGTAGGGATACTCTCTATTTTCCCTCTATGCATAGCCCTAATCCTGGTAAGACTGGACACATATCAGCTCTTCCTCCAGACCCAGCATCCAAGCCAGTTACCTCCCTGCTCAGCACCTGGCCGTCCTTGAACCTTGCCCCTCTCTTCCCTTCTCTTTTCCAAGTCCCAAGGAGGCCAGATTTTCATCTCAGGGGATAGACCTGGGTCTCAGGGGTAACTTTACCCCTAATGGTGATCCCTGGAGATGTCTTGAGGGAGCACTGCTATGTGGTCTAGGAGTTGTCACAGAATGCTCCCAGGGTCCTTGTTGGTACAAGATGTACCTCTTACAACAGTGAGTCAGCCTGAAGTTGTAAAAAGCATCCCTGGGAAGGGAAAATATCTGGGCCACCCCCAAAGAGGACCAAGAGGCAGTTAGGAATGAGGAGGAGTAAAAGTGGCTCAGCCAGTACACTCTCATCATCTGATTTTGTCTGTGGTTGGTGAGATTTTACCACCGTTTTTCTTGACATACTTTGTCAGAGCACAGATGAAACTGGCTAGTCACTGGACTTTACCAAGGTCTAATGTTGTGGAATATTCCTTCACATTGTGTGAAGATATGTCACTGTGCTTGGTTTAATAAAAAGCTAAATAGCCAGCAGCCAGGCAGGATTTCCCGGGCAGAGAGAAAGCTGGGAAGAAGGGCGGAGTTAAGAGGAAGCATGACATGTAGGAGATGAGGTAACACGCCATGAGTCACCTGGCAACCCGCAGATGAATAGAAATGGGTTGATTTAAGTTATAAAGAGCCAGTTAGAGACAAGCCTAAGCTATTGGCCAACCTTTCATAATTAATAATAAGTCTCTGTCTCATTATTTTTGAGCTGGTGGTCCCAACGAAAAAGTCCGACTACACCTAGACTGCTCTGGGGCAAGTGAGGGGAATGAACTACAGTTCACTCAGCTTTCTTATCCTTGTACCCACAGCACATGAGGCTCGGAGGGGCTGAGTGGTCCTCTAGACCCACACAGCTAGAAGGTAAGGAATGCGTCACTGTCCTCTTAGCAGTCAGTGAGTGAGCACAGAGGCCTGCGGGCCACAGGAGCAAGTGTGGAGGCTCCTTTCCCCTTACCCTGGAAGTGGTTGCCAGCCTCTGCTCCACACTGGCAAACAGACTGGTGGAGGTCCTGTCCTGTTGCCTCAGCCGCTGGTGGAGCTGCAGCAGGGCTGCCAGCTGTGAGCTGCTGGTGTTGTCTGTGGCAGTGAGCAAAACATTCCGCATCATCTGTGAGGTCGAACAGCTCTGAAAAACAAAAACAAACCAAAAAGCAGAAAATGGCGCTATGTGCCATGTGAAAGGGCAGAAGGTGAGTGGGCATCTGGGAGTCTGTGTGAGTCACCCTCGGCTGGACCTCTGTCCACCATGTAGCTGGACTATGCCAGCTTGGAGGGCAGTACATCTCACTATGGAGGCTTGGGGTACAGGGTGAACACAGCATGTGTTCACTGAGCTACAAGAACAGGTACCTGACTGGCTTCTATTAATTGAGGACTAGAACACCCTAAGGCTCAGAGAACAGGGTAGGGTCTCTTCTTCTTGCAGCCACAGGGCCACCCTGGTTCTGCCTAATAGAGAGCAGCATGGCTGCCTAGTACTTACAGACAAAGGCCCTTCTGGAGATAGGCAAACGGGGACCGTACCTGAGACAGTGACAGGAACTGGCAGGAGGTTATGGGATCCAGGATGCCAATGCATTCCACCATCTCTAAGCTGGCCGTGGCTGCGATGTCCAGAAGGTTGATGCTCAGGGCAGCCTGCAAACACTGCAGCAGTACCTCTGACGTCTGAGCCAGGAACCTCTGGGCCAACACCATCTTCTTCTGTGGGCAGTGCAAAGCTCAAGGTAAGGAGCTCTGCTCTCTTCAGGCAGAGGCCACCAGGAGACAGGTAGGGAGCGCTGCATACCTTCAGACTCTCAGCCTTCCGGCTTTGCTCCCTGGAGGCTTCCTTCAAGGTGGTCGAGTCTCTGGAGGAGGTCTCTGCACTCTTGTCGTCTGTATCTGTCTCCAGCTCCATCGATCTCAGGCTGCTCTGTTTAGCACCTACCTACAGGGCACATGTGGTCAGAGGTGTTTGTGGATTCCTGCTTGGTTGGCAGGGAAAGCACATACCAGGGAAGGGGAAGGTGGTAGGGATCTGTAGGCCCTGGAAGTTGTACATGACTGGGAGCCATGGGTTTGTGGAGTCAAAGGTGTTACCAATTTGGTGGGCAGGGAGAGGCAATCTCTCAATGGCCCACATACAGAGTGCATGAAAAGCCAGACCCTGGCCCAGCTGGCATCTGGGGATGCCACCTTTAATACTTTGCCCAAGTGTGTCAGTGCTGTCAAAACCCACCAGACCCTGGCCACCAGCAGGTTTAACAGTTCCCCAAGGACGGTGAGATCAGGCTAACCATCAGGAACAGATGCCTGTGGCAGTACAGTAGCCTCAGAGTTAGACAAGCTACTTAGGAGCCATCAAGCTGACCAAGGAAGAAACCACAGTGGCATTTGGGAAACAAACTCAGAGGATGGAAGTTCTACACATTAAACTTAGAAGGTTTCATGGAAATGCGTTTAGAGGAAAGATCCTGCCTGGAAAACAAGAGAGCTCGGAGGAAGGTGAGCTGTGGTGTCAGGAAATGGGACAGCAGCAACTAGCCATACCTAAGGAAGAGGAAAGGAACAAATGCAGAGTTGGGCGGGAAGTCCGGGGCCTGGGAGGAAGCAGGTGTGTTTCCTGGAGCCTCCTGAACTCCACACAGGTCGTTGCTGCTTTAGAGACAGCCTTTCTCCTCTTACAGATAAAGACCCTAACTCAGGATAGACAGGTGAGAGGCTCATGCTTCTGTGCCTCAAGCCCCTCACTTTGTGACCTGGGCAGGAGTTACAAACATCTGCTCACCCAGCATGGGTCTTATTGGCCTCTTGCTGTCTACACCCTGAGGATCCAGGACAAACAACCCTGGGTACTAAGCCAAGGGCTTCAGAGCTAGCTGGCTGGGAGCGTCTCTGGGTGCTGAGTCCTGGGGAATGGCCTGCTACACAGGGTTGTGAGGGCTCCTATAGGAGGAGCTTGTCTGCTAAGCATCATAGCTTGTCCATTGAGGCTGGTGCCATCTTGAGGAACAAGTGCCTTGGGGCAGGCTCTTAGAAAAGGGGCCTGTGATGAGAGACTTTATCATTTATTACAGAAATAGTAACTAATAATCAGAATTAACTTCTGATGGAAAAATACACTGGATGCTTTATATTCTCAAAAAGGCCCCAGAAAAGGGAAATTCCTTCTCACTGGGGCATCAGTGGTAAGAGCTGCAGCTCCTGATCTCACATAGCCCCTCCCTTTGATCTAGTGCTGGGAGAAAATGCTAATATGAATCAAATGTCCACTTTCCTCCCACAGCTTATGCAAGTTGCCATGGCTACCACGATGCTGTGTTTCCAGCTACCTCAAAAGCGAAAGCAAAACCCAATGTAAAACCCACTTTTACATTTATCAATTATAAACTTCTATTGTTTCTTGCTCTACATTTATCAATTATACACGTCTAGTTTAACAAACCATGTAAATGTAGTTTTATGGACTAACACCTTTCTCCATTCTTAGCAATCATAGGCATTTAGATCTTCCTCACCTCTTAAATGTACAAGTCAAGTCCCCTCTGGGACTTAAATTTGCCCGGATGTTTTACAAATCACATCTTTTCAATTTTATCAAGACCCTATCTACCTTCCTGGCTCTGAGAGAAATGAATGCCTGGTATCCTTACTACTGTCAGAGAATTGCTAATTGTGCACATGGGCATATAAACTGGGAACCCTGTGGGATCTGGGAGAATTTTTAAGGAGAGATTTTTTTTTTTTAACAAGACCTTCTAAAGAGAACTTTAAGAATGCTTTTAGAGAAAGAACTTTTGAGTAGAGAACTTTTGGAAACTTTTAAAGAGAACTTTAGGGAAGAATTCTTTTTTTGAAGAATAACGAGCTTGAGGAGAATGATACCTGTATGAATTGATTTGTTTTTAGCCTCAGACATTTTTAGCCAAGCCTTACCCACCTGCTGTAAACCTCCTGTCTGGACTGCCCTTAGACCTGGAACAGGCATGCTTGCAAGAGCTGTCACCAGGGTCTTGTCAGAGAACCCAGCCCTAAAAGAGGGTGGGCAGAGTGGTGGGCAAGGTGGCATTTGCCCTTCTCGGAGATTTCCCAAGCTGTGTGGCATATATAGGACCATAGAGGCAGACCTAGAGGCAGTATCTATCCTGGTGTATCTTTGCATGGAGATGCCCCGGATAGTGCATGAGCTTTCTGAAGCTCCCAGGCATATGTACACAACTGAACACAAGCCACCAAGACAGAGATGCCAGGGCCAGACTCTTCCTCGTTGAGTTGGTGGACCACCTCTTATAGCCAAAGTCTACAGTCAAGGTAGAGCAATCAAGGACTAGACCTCAGTGGGAAGAAAGGACACCTACCAAGAGCTCTTCCTCCCAGCAGAAGGAAGGGTACACAGGGTCTGTCTGCACGGAAAGCAGATGGAGAGCCTTCCCAGCCAGGACCAGAAGCTGGGCACGGATGTCAATGCAGCCCATGCACAGCGGCTGCAGACTCTCCAGCTGTGCCAGCACCGTGTGAGGCAGTGTCCGCTTCAGTATGAACCATTGCTTCAGGAAGACAAGAAGGTGCCATGGTCACCAATGGCTGCCACTTGACCTCCACCCAGTCACCTAGAGATCTCAGATAGCTGCCTTCTAGGGTTGCCTCACAGGGAACATCTGGGCACTTTTGAGCTATGCCTTTGCTCTGTGTACTCCTGTGTAGTAGCATGAGGGGGTATCTCTGGGACTTAAATATTGGGAGAATAATAAAAGACAACTTCTATCAATATAAATCAGAAGTCATTATAGATAGAGGTTAACTGTAGTATTCATTTATGTTCACTCTAAATTAACCTGACTCTTTTGTTTCATGGCAATTAAGAGAATGGAAAAGTGCTGGAGCCACAGCTGAGCATGTGCAGGGCCCTGGATTCTATTCCTAGGACTGCCTAAACGTAGGAAGGAAAGAAAAAAGAGGGAAAGGGAGGGAGGGAAGGAGAGAGAAGGAAAGTGGAAGAAGGATTTTCATCCAAATAGGTATTCACTTATTCAGTTTGTTCTGTTTGCAATGCTGGGAGGGCTTAGGGCAGCGACTAATCCCAAGATCTTGGAATGGAAGCTGTAAGCCAACATAGGAAACCCTTCCTCTTCATTATTAGTTAAGCCCTCTTGGTGATCAGACAGTGCCTCTCTGCACCAAGGTGTGGGAATGGTCAAGAGCTGGATGGATGGGGACTGGGATCCCATAGATTGGCACCCCACTTTCAGTGTGACTGGCAGACCCCCAGGAGAGAACATGGCCTAAGACTCAATGCAGTCACCAAGCCAATGGATGAGTAGTCGCTGGTATTCTCAAGGAAGTCTGCAAGCAGCTTCTCAAAAGAGCCCCGCTCCAGTTGCAACTCCAAGGCCTCCTTGCAGACTAGCTGCTGCATGTCCAGGCATGTTTCTGCTAGGCGGAGTTTGAGGTGGGCCAGCCTTCTCATCAGTGGGGAGTTGATGTTCTGTAACTGAGATAGTTGGGAGGTGGGTAAAGCAAGGCACTCTTCCAAGGAAACCAACCATTGGTAAGTACTCTGATAAAGGCATGGTTGACATGTCATGGACAGCATACATTTGAAGTAGAAATTGACGTGTAAAGTGGATATACTTTGACATGGCAGTAGATGCTAGACCATCACCAGCCTAAGAAAAGGAATGTGGTCTTTACACTCTGGACTTCCCCATGTCCTTTCTTGAGCCTGTGTTGACATCAGGCTCCTGTCTGCTCTAAGTTGTATAAATGGTGGTTTTTCAGGCTGGGTCTTTGCTTTGAGAGACTCTACTTCACAAGCTACTTTGAGGGTGGAGGATAACTGAACTCCTGGCTGGACCCACCGTCTATCTGGCACTTACCCATGCAGCATAGATCGATAAATGGATTATTCCTGGGAGAATGAAGCCACTCTATACAATCACTGGGCTAAACTGAAGACATAGGGGGGTATATGAAAGACCTGCAGAGCATGGACCTTCACACTCCCACTCAGGAAAGGCGACACCCTAAATCGCTCACGAGAAGCAGTCTTGATGTAAAAGCATGAGGTCTTTTATATTCCAAGTGCACTGGGGTCCACAGACATGGGCCACGCAGGGTAGAGGACTAAGGACCCTGAGTACAGAATTGGGACAGCTTTTATAGGGTTACAACAAAGCCCGCACATTGTAAACCAATCATCTCAAAGCATCCAGAGCCCTCGAGGTGCGGACCAATCAATTTAAACCATCCAAGCCTGCACTTTATAGACCAATCAGTTTTCTATAGCCCTGGAGGTCTGCATTTGTGTGGGCTCCTAGGTGGGGTGACAAATAGGAGTTAGGTTAGGTCACTGGGGCAGGGGTTTCACAAGCAGTTTACAAAGTCAGGTAAGCAGCAAGGAGCTGAGGGCAGGGTCTGGAATTTAAGGTATTTAGTATTTTTAAACTTCTAGCTTCCTGGGTTCAGTGGACAGTTAGGCTGTATTTTTCCATCCTTACATATGTGGGTGTGTTAAAATCATATCAAGGAAGCAAGGCCCAAGAATTTAGTCAGGACATCAAACCAGGAAAAGGACTTGACTCCCTCACCTGCCCCTCCCCATAAAGGGTCAGATACCTAACACTGTGATGGCACAGCGCCAAACCAGTTTATCCTCTGTTATCTGGTATGTGTACTCAAGGACTCACAGGAGGGGAACCTTCAACTGTCCTTCTGCTCTTCTTGGTCGCCCAGCTGTCTCTGATTGTCTACATGTCAGCCCATTCAGCTCTGATCAGGTTGTGCCCTGTCACCTCTGCGGTTGACTAGATTTTTGCTCTCAAACCTGACTCCTCCTCTATGGCAAAAGCTTTTTTTCTGGATTCCTTTTCAAATCAGACTCCACTAGAATTTCTCTCAGCCCACTGAGGAAACATCTTGAACCCTTTGGTAGCCTCCTTAACTTGTATTCTTCCTGTAACCCACACATATGCATATATAGACATGTTTATTAGGTGCTATGCAATATAAGAGTTAATATTTGTAATTAAGAATGGAAAACAGTTACTTGAATTTGCCTTGGCCAGATTACTAAAGTAGGCAGATAATCTGGCAAATTGTTGCCATTAACACTCTTAAACCTTGTGAAGTTGTTTTATTCAACAAATCCTCATGCTGTAACAAGACACAAATATGTTCATCTCTGTTTCTGGCATAGCATGCTCAAGACAGCTTTCCTCTCTCCTAAGTGACAACTACTTTGTGGTGTGATAAATCAGCGTTGTATAAATGGCATCATACAGTATGAGATCGTTTTTGTCTGTTTTACCTCAGTATGGCTATTTTGAGACTCATCCATATGCCAGAAGGATGATGTTTGCCTTTTTGCGTACTTGTTTTCCATACATTTGAGGAAATGTTTCTTTAAATAATTTGCTTGTTTTTTTAACATTTTACCCTTAAGATTTGAGAGTTCTTTATGCATTCCTGATATGTTACCTCTATTGAGGAATAAAATTTGCAAATGTTTCCTCATAGTCTGTGTTTTTTCCACTTTTCTCTTGATAGTGTATTTTAAAGAGAAGATCAATTTATCAATTTATTCTTTTATCGGATCACATGTTAGATACATTTCTTTGCCAAAAATGTCCATCACCAAGGGACTTTGCTATGTGTTTTAGGTTTTCAGTTTAGGTTTCTGATTCATTTGAGGTTATTTTCTACCTCAGTCTGAGGTGCGAGTGGAGCTCAGTTGTTTTGAACATGCATTTCGTATTGTTCTAGCATCATCTAAAGACTATCCTTTGTCCATGGAGCCGTGCCTCTGCTACATACTCTATGTATGTTTGTATTTTTGGATTGTCAGGTTTGTCCTATTGATCTGTTTGTTCATTTTCCCATTTAGCACACACTGTCTTTTTTTTCCTGCTATTAGTCATAGCGCTTTTATTGATTGATTGATTGATTGATTGATTGATTGATTGATTGATTGATTGATTATGTATATAGTGTTCAGTCTGTATATATGCCTGGACACCAGAAGAGGGCACCAGATCTCATTACAGATGGTTGTGAGCCACCACATGGTTTCTGGCAATTGAATTCAGTACCACTGGAAGAGCAGTCAAATGCTCTTAACCTCTGAACCATCTCAACTCTACAGCCCACATACTATCTTGACTGTTGTACCTCTATAATAGGATTTAAACAGGTACCATTGGGCTCCTAGTTTCATTCTTTTTTGGAATTGTCTTGGCTACTGTAGATCTTCCATATTTTAAAATCTTGTCAATCAATATATGTTAAAAAGTGTTTATAGTAATCGTAATTATGGTTAAGGAAGAATTGACATCTTAACTATATTTAGTCTTCTGATCTAGGAATGTGAATTTTTGCTTTCATTAATTTAAGCCTTCTTTAACTATTCTCAGCAATGTTTTATTATTCTAGAGCATAAACATTCACATTTTGGGGGTCAAATTTCATTCTTAAGTAGTCATAAACTATATTGCTTTAATTTTTAATATACAATTAATCATTCTTTGTATAAAAATATAATATATATACTACATAACTCTGAAATGCAACTAAACTTGCTCATTAACTTTAATTTAGCTTACTTGTAGTTTTTAATTTTGGTAAATTATATGATTTTCTATAAAAACATGTCATCTGTGAAAAGATATTTTTCTTTCATGTTCCTTCTGTCCATCTGGATGCTTTTATTTGTTTTTGTTTTGCCTTGTTTTGATTTTATTTTGTTTTTCTGAGGCAGTGTTTCTCCTGTGTAGCTTTGGAATCTGTCCTGGATCTGGCTTTGGTAGACCAAGTTGGATTTGAACTCACAGAGATCTGTTCGCCTCTGCCTCCTGAGTGCTGGGATTAAAGATGTGTGCCACCACCACCTGGCATCTAGATGCTTTTAATTTCTGTTCTAGCCTTATTGCATTGGCTAGAATCTCCACAACAAGGCTGAATAAAAGTGGTAAGACATCACTGTCTTATTCCTTAGCAAAGGGAGATTCAGTTTGTCTTAAACCAGGAAGCGTGGTGTTATGTTGTTATGTTAGCTGCTCAGGTACAACACCGTCTGTTGGTTTCTGTTTGTCTGTACTGTCTTTAACTCTTTCATCTTATTTATTTATTTATTTATTTATTTATTTATTTATTTATTTATTTGTATCCCTGGCTGTTTTGGGGATTACTACCTAGTCCAGGCTGGCCTGGAACTCACAGAACTCCTTCTGCCCCTGCTTCCTGAATTCTGGGATTAAAGGTGTGCGCTACCATGCCCTCCCTTATCTTATTTTGGAGTTAGACTAGTCTCATTGAAAAATTAGCATATATTTTCTCCCTTTCAACCTCCTAAAATAATCTGGTATTTTAAAAAACTATTTGGTAGAAGCCAGCAGGAGATCTGCCTGGGCTTTATATTTGCTTTGTGAAAAGGTTTTCAATTACAAACTCAATTCCCCTCACTCCTAGAGTTGCTATAGAGTTATTTCTTTTTGAGTGGATATTACAAGTGTGGGTCAATTTCAGCTAACTTGTAAACTTCACGTCTCCTCGCTATTCTTTGAATATAGGCAGAACCCATGACTGGACTAGGTCACTCATTTCTGGTATTTGGCACTTATATCCTTTACAGACTATCTGATCAATCCAACTAAGTTTACTAACTAATCTATACCAACGAACCAGCTTTGGCTTTAGTGACCTTTCTCCCCCCCCTCCCCCCACCTTGACAGGGTTTCTCTGTGTAACTACCTTGGCTGTCCTGGGACTTGCTTTTTAGATCAGGCTGGCCTTGAACTCACAGAGATCTGCCTGCCTCTGCCTCCTGAGTGCTGGGATTAAAAGAGCGTGCTGCCTGGTTATGACTTTGTCCTTTAAGGTGAGTTTAAGCCTTAGTTCAGAGACTACTGTCAGTATGTCCAAGATCTTGAAAATTCTTGTTTGGTGGATTTTATTTGGTTTGGGCTTTGTTTTGGATTTTCATTGGCTTTTCCCCTCCATCTTTAGTTCCTATTCTACTACTTGTTTTGGATTCAGTTTGTTCTTTGTTTTGAAGGTAAAGGCTGAGCTCATTGACTTCTGGCCCATTACTGTTACCGTTATTACTCAGGTGTTAGTGTTCCAGAGTCCCCTTAAGTACTACACTGATGACATCTTAAACTCCTTGATGTCCTCTTCTCCCTTCATCTCAAAACATTTAGTCTCTGGCTTCTTCCGTAGCCTAGAGTTGTTGGCTGTATTCTACTTAAATTCCAAACATTTGGGGTTTCCCATGCACACAATTTTTTTTTTTTTTTTTAAATCTGGTTGGGAGCAAGATAGAAAACCTGTCCCAGACGCTAGACCAAATACCACAAGCTCACCTATGCACCTGTGACTGTGCCAAACTGGTGTGGTCAGTGCCACAGGTGCGGCTGGGTGTATCTCTCACTACATTCCCCTTTTAGTCTAAAGAAAAAGATTTAGGCTTGTTACAAAACTATGTACAAAGATAGCAAATATTAAGTATGCTCTAGGAAAAGGAAATGTAAGAGCATGCACACTTAAACCCTATTGCCAGTGAAGCAACAAGAGCAAAATGGGAAGAGCTACACAATGGAATGAACACATTTGAAGTATGACAGCTGGAGAGATGACTCAGTGGTCAAGAGCACTTGCTACTCCTGCAAAGGACCCAGGTTTGATTCCCAGCACTTACTGTTGTGGCTCACAACCATCTGTAACTCTAATTCCAAGGGATCTGATACCCTCTTCAGACCTACATGAGCACCAGGCTTGCGTGTAGTGCACATACATACTCACAGGAAAGACACTCATAGACATAAAATAAAATAAGTCTAAAAATTAAAACATGCAATTCATTAGCACATGATAAATCCGCAGTGTTGTGTAATCATTATTGGTTCAGTTCCCAAACATTACTATCATTCCACAAGGAAACCCAAAAGTTAGTAGTCACTCCTTATTCCTGTCCTTGTCCCCCAGAAGCCACTAGTCCATTTTCTGTGTCTTTGGATTTTTCTTCTCCCTGTTATTTTTTTAAAATATTTATTGTATATACAGTCTTCTGTCTGAGTGTATGCCTGCATGCCAGAGGAAGGTGTCCGATCTCATTATAGGTGGTGTGAGCTGCCATGTGGCTTCTGGGAATTGAACTCAGGACCTCTGGAAGAGCAGTCAAATGCTTTTAACCTCTGAGCTATCTCTCCAGACACTACGTCCTGGTTTTGATGTCCAATTTAATTCCATACAATGCTCTGTATGGTTCAAATTTGGTGAGATTCTTCTTATGGTTCAGAGTATAGCCTATGTTGGAAGACAGTCCACATTTATGAGAGTGTATCCCACTATTGCTGAGAGAAATGTTAAAAAAAATGTGTATTGGGTCATGTTGGTTGACAATATTTTAACCTTCTTATTCTTTGCTAGTTTCATGTTTAGTTGTTCTATTAATAATTGAGGAGAAGGATACTGAAATTTTGGCTCTAATAGATTTAGCAATTTTTCTGAAGACCAATGTTTGCTTCTTATATATTTTTAAAACTCTCTTATCATGGTCACTGTGTTTAGGTTAACTTTCTTCTTGGTTAGTTTACACTATGAGATAAATATTCTCATCCCAGCTGGCTTGATCAGTATTAGTGTGGGATATTCTTTCCACACGTTTACTCTTCTTCTGTCTTTGTCTTTATGTTCACAATGGCTTCCTTGCAGGCACCACATAGTTGGGTTCACTTACCTTCTGTTAAATTCGGAGGTCAGGCCCTCTGTCAGGCAATGCTGCCCTATACACAGACATGGCTGTGATGTGCAGGCTCATACTTACATCGTGGAGGGACAGTATCCCCTGGGTTCTGTGAAATAGTTCCTCTTCCTCAGCTATAGCCCTGTGGGACAAGTCGTACACTTCCAGACAATAGGCAGTCTTTTGTTCCTCATCTTTCTCCTTTTGAGCACACAACCTTTATACAACATAAAAGTGGAACTTAGAACAAAAATATTAAAGCTAATTAATGTCTTATAATACTAGCATCCATTATACTGATTAATATATAACATAATTTCTACATAATTATGGTATACATTTTATGAGTTCCTAAAAATTTTGCAGTTAAGTGTTTTATACATAAAGTTATTTTTCAGAACATTTTACTTATTTATTTTCAATGTGTATGTAGATTTGTTCATATGTGTGCACAGGTATATGTACGTGCATATGGAGGTCTGAGATCAACCCTGGCATTGTCCCTTAGGTATTGTCCATCTTTCTTTGGAGACGGGTCTCCCATTGGCCTAGACTAGACTGCCAGCAATCCCCAAGGATCCACTTGCCTCTGTCTCCCCAGTGCTGGCATTACACATACACACTACCATTCTTGGCTTCTTTATATGAGTTCTGGGGAATGAGCTCAAGTCCTTGTGCTTGCAAGTCAAGTGGTGTACTGACAGAGCCATCTCCCCAGCCTTCTAAATACATTTCAAAGCAAGGTGTTTATCAGTTGGAATGACAGTATATACAATGTGATGAAGCAACACACCACTTTCCACCTGCTGGCTCAGTCACCCACTTTCCTGCCTTCCTGGTGGCCCACACCTGTGGGAATGGATGTGATTTGGGTGTTGGATGATCATGGCTCCTGAAGGCAGGGTCACACCTCCACAGGATTTGCTCATGTGTAAAAGGCTTGTGGATTTCCTGGGCAGGCAGAGACATTATGAGAAGCACTGGGGGCTGCAGTAGGAGGAGAGCTGGGCAGCCATTGGAATACACAGCTGTAGCAGTAGATAGGAACAGCTGCTGGAGACCCTTCAGGCTGGCAGTGGTGGATTGGCAGGGAGGACGTTGGGGAGGGATCTGGGTCTAGTCATGTCTGAAGCTGAGGAGGAGAAGGGCTGTCTGGGGGAGCTCAAAAGTGGGCCCTTCTCAGAGGGCAGAGCCTGGGGCAGCTCCACCGGTGTGGGTGGGTGTGTGGTGATGTCCTTACTTCTTTATCCGTGCGTGCTCTAGTTTTAAGTCGACACAATTTCTCTTGTAGCCACTGATGATTAAGTTTTCTTCCACTTCTATCAGGTGCTTTTCTAGATCCTCCAGCAAAAATGGGCACTCAAGAAGGTCTTTGTCAACCAAGCTGAATGCAAGTTGGATTTGAAGTGTCACACACCTGCTGGACAGACACCTCCTCAGGGATGGTGGGGACTGAAGTTTCCCCCACCAGATTCAAAGCCCAAGACCACAGCAACCCTCCTTCTGTCCAGCAACTACCAAGGCACACTGAAACAGGCACCAATGAGCCTTTTCCTCCCAAGATGGACATCATACAACCATGGCCTTAGATCAGTGAAGTTAGAATTTAATAACCCCATCTAGATATCAGATTCACTCTTGGAAAACAGGAAAACCATGCTGATATAAGACTGCTTACAGACTCCACCCCAGGACCAGCTAGTGGGACACAGAGCTCACAGCACTTTCCAGAGAAGAGTCAGAAGCAGAACAAGGCAAGGATCCCTGCATCTGTGGTCAGTGAGCTCAGAGAACTCCTGGGAAAGAGCCTGTGATGTGACTTGAAGTCTGTACTAACATGTGTGGAAGAAGAGGCGTTCTCTGACAGCACCCCACAGGGGGGCAAAGTCCAGAGGCTCCAGGAGCCATAGGAAAGACACTGGAAATGTGGGCTGTCTGGGAGGAAGCCGTGAGTCCTCTGAGGCACATAGTAGATGGAAGGTCTGTTCCTCAGAGGAACCTGAGGATGTGTGGGACACATAGCAGGGAAGCAATGCATGGTTCTGTTGGGTCTGAGCCTTCCTGGGTTTGGCGTATATAGCATGAGAGGGAATGTATGTGGAAGTAGCCACAGCTTTGGTACAGCAGGCATCATTACCTGGTTTCCAGGTCCATGATAAAGAATTCCAGCAGGGATACTCGGTTTGGCCTTTCTTTCTGGAGGACCTTGAAAGTATCTATGAGTTTCTGAAATAGTTTGCAAACCTGGACATGATGGTCACATGTTACTGTGTCACCAGCAGGGCCTGGGGACAGGACCTCAGCACATACCCTTCCCCATACACCCCCACATTGTCCACTGGTTCCCCCCGACTCACTATGATTTCTTTGTCATCATCTTCAGAGGATAAGATGGCCTCAGCCAGAGTCAGGGTTGAATTGTACCAGAACTCTTCAGCTCCACCTAGCTGCTGGGCCCTCTCAATCATGAGCATAGCTTGTCCATGGTTCTTTTCCTTGTTGGCCAGCTGTGCTAGAAGCAACAGGCACTGTGCTTCTGAACAGATATCACCTAGCTCCTAAAAACAGCAGCAGACAGATAGGCAGCTCCACTCAGGTTGGCACAGCCACTGGTTGGGAGTGATAGTCCTCAGGAGTGGAAAGTGTGCCCTGAGAGCCAAAGGAGCCAGCCTGTGCAGGATTTTGGTTATACCTGCAGCTCCTTTCTGCCCTGCCGCCTGCGGTTGGCAGCTTCTTCCCTATGGAGGCTACTGTTAGAATCAGCTTTGCCATGTGCGATAGTTTCATGTCAACTTGACATAAGCCAAAGTTATCTGAGAGAGGGGAGACTCAATTGAGAAAATGTCTCCATAAGATTAGGCTGTGTGCAAGCCTATAGGGCATTTCCTTTTTCTATCTTTTTGTTTCGTTTTTGTTTTTAAAGACAGGGTTTCTCTGTATAACAGCCCTAGCTGTCCTGGAACTCATTTTGTAGACCAGGCTGACCTTGAATTCAGAGATTTGCCTGAGTGCTGGGATTAAAGGCGTGCACCACCACACCTGGCTTTATAGGGTATATTTTTAATTAGTGATTGGCGTGGGAGGCCCCAGTCCTTGTGGGTGGAGCCACCCCTGGGCTGGTGGTGCTGGGTTCTATAAGAAAGCAGGCTAAGCAAGCCAGTAAGCATCACCCTCCATGGCCTCTGCACTGGTTCTTGCCTCCATGTTCCTGCCCTGCCTGAGTTCCTGTTCTGACTTCCTTTGATGAACAGTGATGTAGAAGTATAAGCCTAATAAGCCCTTTCAAGTTGTTTTGGTCATGGTATTTCATTACAGCAATAGAAACCCTAACTAAGGGATGGTGGTGGAACTCAGGAGGCAGAGGCATGTGGATCTCTATGAGTTCAAGACCAGACTGGTCTACAGAGCTAGTTCCAGGACAGGCTCCAAAGCTACACAGAGAAACCCTGTCTCAAAAAAACAAACAAAACAGAAAACTCTAAGACAGCATGCATGGACCTAGGGTCAGGTAACCAACAGACAAGTAGTGGAGGTTCTGCCTGGACCTGAGGAAATTCAGGTCTAAATATGGGCCCGAGGGTGTCCTTTGGGGGAGGGTATGTTATGACCTATCTGAGAAGTACAAAGCCAGTTCCTTAGTCCTCCCAGGTTCTTAATGGAACTTATCTCTCTCTTTGCAGAGGACTTCCTGAGGTCAAGGCCCAAGGGCAATTCCACATGTGGATATTTCTTGGTGCCCAGAAAGTTTCCCGCAGCTCCCAGCATCCATCCTCACTTACCTTGGGCATCATGTAGCAAATGCCAAGGCAAATAATGCACTTTATGTTAAACACCAAGGGAGGAAGAAGACTCCCCCAGCACTGGACAGACACTACTGTTCTCACAGAGGGAAGGTAGAGGACATTGCTTTCTGGGAAAATGTGAAGTCATGTGTCTTCTCAGACAGAGACAGATGGTTCGCTCTTGCAAACCCTTCTGAGACATGGGGTGCTATCTGTGCCCTGTGATGTGGAATAGACATAGGCAAGTTCTGAGAATGGTGAGAACATCCATGTCGGGGTGACTCACATGATGATTCCACAGATTCACATATTATTGGTCAATGGGATAGACTGGACCAGGAGTCTGCAAACCTACCCAGCACATGTCCTATTTGGATTCTGTGCCCCAAACTTCCCTGTGCTGGTGAGAGGGTGTGCTGAACTCCAGACCCACAGGACAACCTGGCTGTCTTGGGGAGCAGGGGGTACAAGGGGAGCTTTTCTTCTATACAAGAATATTTCTAGCTTCTGAACCAGATCTTGTCTGGAGGGTGCTGAGCTCCAAGGTGGGGAGGCAGGGGCCCAGTGGGCCCAGAGAACAAGGCTAGCACACAAGCAAGATCAGCTTCAGCCAAGGCTAGGTTCCTCATAGACAGATCCTGGGGCTGCAGTGGGGCTGGTGGCTGGGCACAGGCTGAGCAGAGCCCCTTACACAGAAAGGACAGTGTGCAGCCCAGGTAGGACTGTTAGCTGGGAGGAAGAGAATGGTGGGAGAGGAGTTTGGGAGCAGGGGTAAGGTTACATAGGGTCCTGGCACTCAAGCTTGGGTACTAAAAATTGAAATTATCCTCAGATGACAGGTAAGCCTGAAGTGATGGGGATGAGAGACATAACCCCAAGAGAGGTGACGGGAGAATCCGAACACATCCACCTTAGCCCTGGTCCTGTAACTGGGACTGTCTGTGCCAGGATGCAGGAATTATGGGTGAGGTGAAGAGGAGGAGGAAGCCACGTGTAGATGTAGATTTGCCAGAGCAAGTGCATTTGATGGCAGAGTGCCGAGTGCACAGAGTACAGCCTACCTGTCAGCTCAGTCATCTCTGGGACAGGTTATCTCAACTCTGTGTACATACCTGTCCCCTCCCTGATTCAAGAACACAACACCTGTCATCCCTGAAATTTGTACACCTGTCTTGTGTGGCTAGTTCTATGCCAGCTTGACACACAAACTAAAATTATCTGAAAGGAAAGAACTTCAATGGGAAGAGTGCCTCAATAAGTCTTAGTGACTGGTGGCAGAGGGTGGGTAGGGCCATCCCTGGGCTGGTGAGCTTGGGTTCTATTATAAAGCAGCCTGAGCAAGCCATAGGGAGCAAGCCAGTAAGCAGCACTCCTCTGTGGCCTCTGCATCAGCTTCTGCCTCCAGGTCCCTGCCCTGTTTAAGTTCCTGTCCTGGCCTCCTTCGGTGATGAACAGCAATATGGGTGGATAAGCCAAATAAGCCCTCTCCTTCCCAACTTGCTCTTTGGTCATGGTGTTTTATTGCAGCATTAGAAACCCTAACTAAGACAGACAGTCTCTCCCTGGTACCTGAATGTCTGTCTGCTCACTATAACCATATACTTGTTCCCTCCCTATTCATCTACATCTTTTCCTTCCCTGATATCTCCTTGTCCCTCCTTTGATACCTGCACATCTCTTCCCTTTCTAACTTATCATCTTCCCTATGCCTGTACATCTGTCACATCTCTAGCATCTGCACAACTATCTCATTCCTGACATCTGCACAGCTGTTCCCCTACCCCAACACCTGCACATCTGTCCTAACCCTGCTCCTACCACACCTGCTCCCTCTCTGGTACATGCACCCCTTTTCTCACTGTATGGACCAGGGGCTCACAACTTTCTGGTGACACTGGATTTTTCCATCACTGCCAAATCTTCCTCTTTTCCTTGAGTTCTTCAGAACAAGCCACAGGCTGGTTGTATCAGGATCTTCACCGCATCCTCCCACTGAAAGCAATTCTAAGTCTGTCTGCAGGGGTTTGGAGGAGTTATGGGGATTGTTAACTTGGGGGATTGATATCATTAGAGAAGATAATGCAAACAGCTTCTTCCTTCCAAACTGTCCAAGGTCAGCCGTTCACTGGGGACAGAGTCCAGGATAGAAAAGCCCTGCCAAGTGTAATTTGGATCTTGAGACCCAAAAAAGTCAATCGAGGGAGTGAGTGGGCACTGGGGTCCCAGGTCTAGTAGGCAGCTCCTTAGAGAAGAAAAGCCAGTGCTCCCAAGCCTATTGAGAGCTGGGCTCTGAGCAGTGCTCTGTGGAAGAATGCTAACTCAAGCCTTTTTGGGGACTTGATGGAGATCCCGAGAAGCCAGATGCCCCTGAAGTCCTTGGATGAGGAGTAAGGATACATCTGAAGGGTTTAGACCCAGGCCAAGATGGCCTCAGTGGAGATGGGTGAGGCGTGTTACCTGGAAAGTCTGTTGGGCCTCTGACAAGAGCAGCCGTGCTGGTTGGTGCAGCTCCAGTTCCAGTAGGACCTCCCCTTTGAGCATCCACAGCTGGGGGTAGGATGTCCCTTCCAGGCCTTTGCCAGTCTCTCCGTTTATCTTCAAAATCTGTGAGACACCGTGGCCCTAAGATACTCTGCCCCAGTCTGTGTCCCATGATGTGTTCTGTCTTAGAAGCAGTAATGCCACAGGGTGCATTTCCACAGGGACATCTCCAGTGTGCCCTACTCAGAACCTCAGGCTCTTTGGCTTCTGCTTGTCTAGCTTCTGACACACCCCAACGTGGTTTCCCTTCTCCCCCAGGGATCATTGGCGACTGGGGGGGGGGGAGCAGAAATGAGTGATCAGGATAGGGTGGCTTATGGGTTGATAGAGATAATGCTCCGGGAGACAGCTTCAGTGAGTCAGCTCCGCTCTATCCCAGAGTGAAGGGAATATATAGCCTTGGGAATGGTAGCTGGGGAATCGCCCAATCTGCATTAAACAGCACTCTCCTATCTTATAGCTCCTAGTACAAGTCTTAGTTACCATGCGTGGAAACACAATGTCTAATTGCTATATGGGCAGTAGAGGGAAAGCTCTAGCAGGGAATTATGACAAAGGTCACACCAAAGATAAATCAGGCATCCAGGGAAAGCTTTCAGATAAGGTCAGGCCTCTGAATCAAGAGACCTCCAAATAAGGGCAGATAGAGAGCAGGTAGTCTCACTGGGGAGGTAGTCCTCTATGTTGTAGAGCTTGGAGAGAGCTTCAAGACTATGGTAGACTGCAATCTCTGACCAGTAAGGCCTCCCAATATCCCAGGCCTTTGGGACCCTTGTTTCTCCTTATTTACCTCACTCTACTCTTCCACTACTGATTACAGCAGCTGCTGAGCTGCCTAGCTTGGTGGGCCTACTTCCCCTCTGTGTGTAGCTGAGAAGCAGTTGTGAGGCTTGCAGGGCTGCCTTGTCTACAGCTGTGCTTTCCTCTCCTTTTCCTGTATACCCATCGCCATCCCTTAACCCCATTGTGGATGGGTCACTGAGTCCTTGACCTTTGTTTGTCCTGAGTTCAGGTCCCAAAACAAACCCCACAAGTACTGACTGAACAGGCTCACAGAGCTGGCACTCTGAGGAACCAAGGTTCTTTAGGATAGTTTTTTCTCCTATACATGGACTGAAGGGGACAGCCAATTGGTGACAGGACATCAGGGGCTTTAGGAGTCTAGCCAGACCCCCTTAGATGTACTCTGCTCTGCAGAGTACCACCCTCATTTTACTTCCCCTTGCCTGAGCCCAGAGCCTTACACATTTTGGGTAAGCAACTATATCTCTAGCCTACTGATGCTCTAAGTTGCTGCTCAGGCCCCTGGTGATCTGTTTTACATATAATTTTTGCCTCCTCAGAGGAAATTTAGGGTCCCAGGATGGTGCAAACTTGGTCAGGTCTCTGAGTTTCCCCATAACACCATGCCTAAGAGACTATGCAGTAAGCACTTCAGAAATCAATGGTGGCTGGTTAACTCTTAGGCCAATCCTACACTACAACCAAGTTGATGTCATCTCTGGGTTTTGGATTCTGCTGTGGCAGAGCCAGGCTAAGTCAGCGTCACCTCTGGGCTATGGATCCCACCGCGGCAGTGCCAGCCTACCTTGTCTTCAGCTATCAGTGGCTTCACCTCTACAGAGCGGGGTGGAGCCAGCTGCTCATGCAGGGATGGCTGGCTCTCTTCCATCAGAGGTTCCTTGTTCTTCTCCTTTTTAAATGCAATCTCTTTCCTGCAGCTAATTGAAGTGAAATAGCGAGATGTAAGGGAAGAAGTACAATAGCTGCTGACAATGGTCAGCTTCATTTACAGTCAAAGAAACACAAGCTAACACAACTAGGAGAAGAAAATGGCCCCCAAGGGGAGTGGCACTATTAGGAGGTTGGCCTTGTTGTCGTGGGGGGTGGTGGCAGGCTTTGAGGTCTCTTTTCTCAAGCTTCCCCTCAGTGTGACTGCAGTCGACTTCCTGTTGCCAGCAAGATGTAGGACACTGGCTATTTCTCCATCACCATGTCTGCCTGCATGCTGCCATGCTCCCTGCCATGATGGTAATGGACTGAACCTCTGAAACTGTTAAGTGAGCCACCTCAATTAAATGTTTCCCTTTATAAGAGTTGCCATGGCCATGGTGTCTCTTCACAGCAATAAAAACCCAAATGAAGACAACACATGTCTATGAAAGCCAAAACAGTCTGCAGTTGGGCAGCAAACTGGTTCCCGGAACCACACTAGGCACCTGTTCTCGCTGCAACTGTCTGACCAAGCTCTTGTGGAGTTTAATGAGCATCTCTGTCTTAATGTATGTAGAGCAGACCTGCCCCTGGGACCCCTCCAAAAGGGTGAAACCACTTAGCGCTCAGGGTTTCCCACAGAGTAGCAAGGTGGCCCCTACACCCACAAAACCTCTCCTCCATTGCCACCTGCCTGAGACCTGAGTCACCCACCATACTACATCCAGAGTAGTCCATTGGGAAGTGGGCCAGTGTATCACAGCATTCAACCCAGTCAGGGCAGATTCTCAGTCACACAAGGGTTCTTCCCATCGGGGTATCTAATACTTCCACCCCAATGATGTCATTTCACAGATCCAAGTGCCCAGGACTCCCTAACTGCATGCACTTGGAACTGAGGCCTCTCTGCCCTGGTGTCACCATTGACACCAACCCTTCCTGTCAGTCTTGGTCATCTGTCTTCCTCCACAGGCCACCTGCAGTGCCTCTCACACTGCACAACAGGTGCTCCAAGTGAACCCAAGAATAAGAAGAGGCAGGAGCCTCTCCCATGCTTGGCAATTGCATTTCTCGACCCCATCTGAGGGCAGGGAAGACTCAGCAAACACTCTCCAGTCAGCCCGGGTATGCACAGATAAATGACTGTGTTAACTCCGTGAAAATTGTTTTGTAGACAGATACTTGTTGCCAAAGGCTGAAAAGTGAAAAATTGTATGCAGCAGAATTACATTTTTCATAACTGATTCAGTGTGCAATGGCAAAACCCCAGAGGGGATTACTGCCAAAGGATGGGGCCTGCAGGGATTTTATTCTCTTCCTTACCTGGTTTCTAAAATTTTCACAATGATCATATAATTTATATGGGGGAAGAGCCACGTTGCAACAATTAACAACAATATGACTATATATATATTCTTATGTATTCTTAAGTGGTCTCTAAGTCTGAAAAGGATTGCTACAGAATCTGTAACTGGCTAATTTAGTTAATTGGACGGCCCACTATCAGCCAACCACAAGTGCTTCAGAGTAACCAAAACCCAGAAACAAGCATGTGCCTTACTCAGCACCATCACTCCTGGCACCCCATGGGAGAAGCCCCTGACTGGTGAAGGACATCCTTTCCCCATCCTGCCCTGGAGAACCCCCTTCCCTTTCCCTTGCTGGGCACCCACAGCTCAGCAGTCCCCAAACCTGTCATGGAAGCCATGGAGGAGACTCACACATTTCTCTATGCCCTGCCCTCCCAGGTACTGCTTTCTAGAAATTATCCCCAGGACCTCCAAGCCCAGACTGAAGATCCAGTAGCCATAATGGGCTGGCACTGAGAGGAGCCACAGCCAGGGCTGGGGTTTCCTCGGCGCTGCCCTTAGGAGCCTGGATTGTACATCACTGGAAAGAAGAGTCCCACACCCAGGAGCAGCAAACACTGCACACACCTGGCCTGCTCCATGTCCCCGATGTATGTCTGTCCAACCACCTCTTCGTGATGAGTTGCTGCATAGTGCAACCTCAGGTCGGAACACACCTGTAAAAGTCTGAGGGGCAAGGCAGGGAGGGAAAAGGCACTGTCACACATGATGCTTTCATCCCCAAAGGAAGTGGTGCTGGGTTTTGGGGGGCTTAATAAGAGCTGGTAAACTAAAAACAGACAAACAAATAAACAAACTGAACTTTGGTACTTTGGTGTTCTAATATTCTTTTTTAAAGCTAAACATGCTAGATGGTTCTATGAAACTTCAGGTGGTCATTTTTTCTGTCATTCACTCATATATTTTACTCACTAAGCCTACATTTTTGGGGCATAATCAGAAGCTAACAGTCAGATGCCCAGATGGGCTCTGCCAAGCCCTACCATAGCCTCCAGCAGGAAACTCAACTGAGGCTTTGCTTAAAGCTCTTCATTTGGACACAGGCATGCAAACACACTCCAGCATTATCTGTGTTCCTCCTCCCCCAAGTGTCACCATGTTCTCTTTACCGCTGTCTCCTTCATTTCCCTCTCTCCTAGACCCTTGATGGGAAGTATAGCGTCCCTTGATCCTTAACTTCCACAGTGTGAGTGTCCTCAAAACAAGGTACTCTCTAAGGATCAGGTAAAGTTTCACAATAAAGATACCATTCCATTGTCTGGCTTTCTTGGGGATTTATTGTTTACACAGTCAGCTACAAAATTACTAACTAAGGTGCTGTTTGGTTTTATATTGTTTTGGACAAACTGTCTCTCTCACCACTTCAAGTAAAAGAGAGATACCAACCGCAGGTGGTAGAGGTCTGCAAGGCTTTTGCTCTCCACCACAGCATCTGCAATGAGCACAGCCAGCTGCAGGATGGGGATGCTGAGCTCATGAAGGTACATCTTTTGCAGGGCTTTGGCCAAATGGTCTATGTAGTACAAGCTGTATGTCTGCATAAATACATAGCAAACAGGTGTGGTCACTCGTCCCCTAAGGTGATGGTTAATACTGATTGTCAACTTGTCATGACTTGAATCACCTAGGAGACAAGTCCAGGCATACCTATGAGAGATTATCTATAGTAGATTAGAGACTCTGGGTTTCTTTTGTAAAGGGTCCTCTTGATTAGGTCAATTGAGGTGAGGAGACCCACACTAAACGTAGGCAGGACCATTCCATGGACTGGGGTGCTGGAATGCATAATGAGGAGGAGGCTAGCTTGGTGTGACCATTCTTTGCTCTCTGCCTTCTCTGCTTCCTAAACAATGATGGATTGTGATGAGCTGTCTCAAGTTCTTGCTGCCAGGGCTTCTGCACCAGAATAGACTACCCTCAAACTGTGGGCCCAAATAAATGCTTTCCCCTTCAAGTTGCTTTGGTATTGTGGTCATAGCAGCAAGAAAAGTTAGCCAACAACACCCAACTTTGCCTGGCACAGTGCCCCGCCCTCAAAGTGTTGAACAAATTTGTGGGGTGCCCTCTTCCCTGTCTGTCATTATAGGTTTTGCTTTGTCATATGCAATGGTGTATGTAGTTGTCTGCACCAGAGCATGGTTAAAGATCTGCACAAGAGATACATGCATTAATTCATTGATTTCATATTCCATTTGGTTGTTTTTATTTTTTTAATTAAGACTGATGTTTCACCAAATGCAGCATTTCTTTGTGTACGTATACAACTGAGTATCTAGAAAAAAAAAGAACTAGTGTCTCCTATGGTATAGGGCTTGTTATGTGGGATTTTGGAGATATTAGAATGATATTAACCATGATTTTCTGGTAACTGGATAGTGGAAAGTGTATAGAAAATCACAGGGCTAAGCTCTGGAGGAAGATTATGTGTCAGAGATGTGGCCTGGCCTGTGGGCACACTGCCCAGGATTAGTGTCAAGGATGGGTAGTCCCTGACCCTAGTACACATATGTCATGTAAGGTAGACTAGATCCAAATTGGACACTAGGCTATACAGATGAAGACTATTTGTACCTTGGGGGAGAATACTGGAGATTACTATCTCTGACCTCACAAAAGGAAACAAGTGTTTTTAAACAAGAACAGAAGGAAGCACCCATCACAGAGGAAATGATTCCTAATTTTCATAAGAGTAAAGTTAATATTTCTACACAGAAGACTCCATGATGGGAGGGAGGTTGGGTCTGACAGCCCTGTGGCAAAGCCCTGGCTGACTGCTCAGATCCACTCACAGGCTTCTGGAAACTTGAGGCATTAATAGTGGAGTCACTCTTGTCTAGCTTGAACACGGACAAGAGATCCTCAGGGCAGGAGTAGGAGGCCCACTCTTCTATGCTGGTGGGGATGTCATCAGGTGGTTTGTTGGAGGCTGGGGTTGAAATCTGTGCATGAGAGAAAGCAAGGGTTTTCTGTAAAACATGGAGTCCTGAAACCGACGCCCCTGTGGTACAACATGAGGAGGACAGGCTGGCAGCCTCTGGCATGGTGTTTGGAGGCTGTGACCCAGGAGGAGCATAGCATGTCTCATGGAAGAGAAAACTGAGGCATGGGATGGTTGTAAGACCCTCAATGTGAATGTGGTGGAGTTGGGGTTCAGGCTCCATGACTGTTACCCTCCACCTCCTGCCTCAGGCAAGGATAGGAACCTGTTTCATGTCTTTGAGCTTCTCCTTCTCCTTTTCCTTCTCCTTCTTCTCCTTCTCCTTCTCCTTCTTCTCCTTCTTCTCCTTCTCCTTCTTCTCCTTGTCCTTCTCCTTCTTCTCCTTCTCCTTTTCCTTCTCCTTCTCCTTCTTCTCCTTCTCCTTCTTCTCCTTCTTCTCCTTCTTCTCCTTCTTCTCCTCCTCCTTTTCTTTCTCCTCCTTCTCCTTCTCCTCCTCCTTCTCCTTCTCCTTCTCCTTCTCCTCCTTCTCCTTCTCCTCCTTCTCCTTCTCCTCCTTTTCCTTCTCCTTCTTCTCCTTCTTCTCCTTCTCTTTCCCTCTCTCCTTCTCCTTCTCCTTTTCCTTCTCTTTCTCTTTCCCCCTTTCCTTCTCCTTTTTTGGCAGTAATAATTGTGAAGTAACGACTTGTAAAGTTTTTTCTGGAATTAGTTTTCCTCCTGATGTCAAGGAAATCTGGAGAGGAGAGGAAATACAAATCAAAAGCATGAAAAGTAGAGCCTGTATCTCCTCTTTCTGCACCTGGTTGGAGGTAGCTCTCAGATCTGAGGCTGCTGCTCAGCCATGGTCAAACCTGGGAGCCTCCACAGCACAGAGAAAGCCTGGTCAGAGACTCAGACCTACATATAGGTTTTTGTGGTGGATGGAGAGCAGAGCTGTGGTGGGTTTGGGGAGCATCCTCCTCAAGGAGCCTCAGGAACAGGAGTGTGGCAGGGCCACGAGAGATGCTGATGTATCTTTCAGCCCAGAGGAAGAGGTAAACGGTGCAGGGGGAAAAGTCTGAGTGCTTCTCAAAGGCCTTTACAGAGTACCTTGGAAGACTCTGGCTATTTCAAAACATGCTATTATGATTTTCCAAAGAAGATGGCACAAAAAGCCCTTCAAAGTTTCCTCCCAGGGGTTGGAGGGTGGGGTCAGTGAGGACCTTCACTGTTCACCACCACATCTCCATCCTGCCCTCACCTGCCAGATGTGCCTGAGGAAGGTGTAGGCCATGAAGCAGTCATCTTCATAGGAAGAGGAGCTTGGGGACACCATCAAGGCCCGAAGGATGTGCACACGGGCTAGGGCCTCCAACTGCCTCACACTTTGAAACTGGTCCAAGGAGACTGTCTCTAGATTCAAGGACACTGTACTCCCTGTGAGAGACTGGGGAGAGGAGGCCTGCCCTGCAAAGCATGGTGGCCATGAACAGGCTTAGGCTCCTGCAGACCCTCGGGTATCTTCCCTCCTGACCTGAGATGCTGACCAAGCCACCTGTCTGTTCCGAGGTACCTAGCAGTGTGCTGCTGCCTGTCCCAGACTGAAGTTTCTCCAGCAGGAATACCTTCTACGGAACCTTTCCCATGTTCCAGACTTTTCTCTCTGAGTCTGGAAGTCAAGGAAACTCATTTTCTGGGAAGCAAAGGGCTGCTGGTCTTGGACTTTGTACCCAAGCAGAAGTCCACTTGGTGTCCTGATGCCTTTACACCAGTCAGAATACACCATAGGCTGACCTGCTCTGTTTTGTTCCTAGCTAGCTTGACCTACTGCGAGCAGCTGTATGGGTTAAATGCCAAGTGGACAGGGCTACAGCTATTCCTTCAGACAAGTTCTGGAACTTTTGCACTCTGTATCTGTTTCTCACTCCTAATTGCTGTAAGCCAAAAAGGAAGGCATGTCTGTGCCAGAGGACATTGGTGGCTCAGCAAACAGTCCCACTATGTCCTGCCGTCCTGGGCCCAGTTAGAGCCTACAGTGTATGGGGTCAGCAGAAGCCAGCATGGTCAACCTCACCTTCCTTCTTGGGCTCTGGCTCATGGGAGTCTTCAGTGGGTTTCATGGACAGCAGAATCTCAATTGCCCACTCGAGGTGGAAGATCACATCTTCCATAGGGAACTGCTTGTAATACATCCACTCACTGAACTCCACGATGTAATCAACCTTCTGCCAGTTGCTCTCTGGCTTCTTTGGGACAAGACAGAAAAGCATATGACACTAATCAGGTCTATGTGCCATTAATTAGCATGGGGAAGCCACCTATAGCAGCAAGAGACTTGACAGTTCACATCACCCTAGAATTTGCCATGGAGCCCCCCTCCAGGAAGATGGGTTTGCCACCAAGATTGCCTGAGGACTCCAGCTGAGGACAGATGTGTGGTAGGAAAACAAGAATTTGGTGAAGCTCTCCAGATCATCTGCACCTATTGCAAGTGTGCCTTGCTTATCCCACTGGCCCATGTTTCCTAACACCACTCCAAGTCTCTCTTGCAACACAGAAGATATTGAGCAGGGCTTCCTGCAATGAAGTCTGGCTAATCTGAAGCCTTGGATAGGTGGGGTCCTGAGGTTAGGTCCTCTACTGAGGGCCCCAATACCTCCCTCCCTATGCATGCACAGCTTTCTCCTAAACTATTGACAGCTTTCATGGCTCATTGTGAGCCTATGGGAGGGGCTATCAGGGAAACTACAGCCAAAAATGTGTCATGGCACACACTTGGCCTATGCTCACTGAAAACATGCAGGCCAGCCTCAAAGATCAGATGTCCACACACAGCCCAGAGCTTTAGTGAGCTGGCCTGCTGCACATTCCCTTCCTTTCCAGGTCTCTCCCTTGACCGAGCCTCAAGGCATCACCCCCACACTTTTCAGAACCTAGGGTCATGGGCCTCTCGCCTCTATTGCTGACTAGCTTCTCTGAGTGTTGGCCTGTATTTTCTAGATCACTGTGAAATATCTGGGTGAGAGAGGCTAGTCCATGCTTGCCCTTGCAAGGGGCTCAAACAAGAAAACCAAATACAAACAAGTGTGCAGGTCTACACAAGGGTGCTGTTGGCAGCAGGAATAGGCCTCAAGAGGAAGGCAGAACAAAGCCCCAGGGCTTCAGGGGGCAGGTGTGAACCCCAGGAAGGGTGCAGGACCACCCAGTGGAATCTGAATCCTAATGGAGGAGGGAGTAGGCATTTTATGGAGGTAAGAGGAAGTCCAGAATGTGCCATGGAAACTGTGACTTAGACAAAAGCTGTGCAAATATGGGGAAGTATGGATACCTCAAGAGAGGAGCTAAGGAGGGAAAGGATGATCCTCTCATCAAAAGGTATAAAATTGAGTGGAGTGTCTACAGCTAAAGAATAGACTGGACCTGCCTCCCTCACACAAACTAACTCAGAATGGATAGGCCACCGGATAGACAGAGCAGTCACAGAATTCTCAGAAGAAAACAAAGGATGTAGCTTCCTGACCTTGGATCAAAATGATCTCTCTGATATAACATGGTAAACATAAGAGACAAAAGATGAAATAGACATCGACCTCAACATTAATTAAAAAACATTGTGACACAAGTAATACTAAGAAAAGTTTCACCATTGAGGGCACAATCTGGTGGCTCTTCTTTAGCTAAACACAGAGCCATTGTGTGACTCATCAATTCCACTCCTACATACATTCTCAAGGGGACCAAGAACATAGGTTCACCAAAAACTATGCATGCACGTTCACAAAAGCCCTACTCACAAGAGCCGAACGATAAGAGAAACAATATAAGAGTCTAACAACTAACAAGCCAAGAGTATGGGTGCCTATGGAATATTGCTTAGTCACAAGAAAGAATTCAGGACAGTCACACAATACAATGTGACCGTAACAGGATGAGAGCATGTTTAGTGGAAGAAGCTAGATGTGACGGTCACATAGTGTGCCTGATTTTATTCTGTTCTGTGAAAGGTCTGGAGCAGCACACTGGGTCAGTGATCCCTGGCTGTAGGAGGGGTTGGGGAGGGAAGTAAGTGCTAACAGACACAATTTGAGGGTGGGCATGGTGATGGAATAGTCTAAAACAGATTGTGGTAAAAAGCCTTGAGAACTAGCTACAGACTGTCCTGTACCAAAAGAAGGGAAGGAGGGAGGGAGAGAGAAAGAGAGGAAGGCAGGGAGGAAGGGAAGAAGGGAAGGAGGGAGAGAAAGAGGAAGGCAGGGAGAGAAAGAATACAAGGGCCTGGGAAGATGGTTCAGTGGATAAAATGCTTATTGTGCAAATGCGAAGCCTGGGGTTTGAGTCCCCAGAACCCCCATACAATCTGAATGTTACAGTGTGCCTCTATAATTCCAGTCCACCTATAGCAAGATGGGAGGCCAAGCCAGGAGAAAAGCCTGGGAGCGTGTGGGTCAGCTACCCTTGTATACACAGTAGAGAACAGACCCTGCCTCACACGAGGTACAAGGTGAGGACTAACTCATGAGGTTGTCCTCTGACTTCTACGGGCATGCCATAGCATGTGCACGCTCATGCTTGCACACAGGAACACAATACACATATATACACCCTACACACACATTTTATACACAAGTACATTTAAATAATGAATACATAAAAACACATTTCAAGGGGGAGACTCAAGGTCACTGAAGACAGATATACCTTCATTGTCCAGCTGAATATGTCGAGCTCTCTGCCCTTCCTCTAGGCTAGCCTGGTGGCTCCCCCATCTCAGGGGGCTGCACTTCCAGCTTCCTCACTGAGATGCCCACATATCGCCTGACCCTGAAACCCAGAGGGAGACTTGAGGGTGCCCAGTTACTTGGTCTCCAAGAGCAAAGTGCAGAGCTCCCTTTAACCACAAGCATTAGTGTCAGGTCTCTGAAGCCACAGCCTGTGCCCTGAGATGGACCTAGTTCTCTTGCTGAGAGCTGCCCTGGTCTGTGGCAGCCAGGACCTCATAGCAGGGTCTGCTAAGGGCCTGTGAAACTGACCAGCCTCCCGAGGTGGTTTCTCACAGTTCAGACCTTTCCATTCAGAGGCCCAGGACACCATTGGTCCCACACTCAGGACCTCAGGGAGCCCCATGTGGGCCTCACTCATGAGAAGCATTGTCATCAAATCGGAAGTCAGAGCACCCTCCCACTCAAGTGCTTGGAATGGAATATCTGTTTTGGTTTTTTGGTGGCGGAGACAGCAAGACCTGCCTGCCCTAGCCTGCTGCATGCAGAGCTCTGCTTGCTCAGCAGTCCCGGGTTCCAGGAAGCCCAGACATTGACCCCAGGGCGGTCTAGACTCTCTATCCTTTTCAAGATGGGTGGCTAAGGGGCAAATCAGCAGAAGGGAGTCTCTCCCCTCAGCCAGGGCTTGCCACACAGTGGCTTCCTCTGAGCTGACCCACTAAGTCCTTAATTCTGAAGCTTTTCAGATGGTTATCTCTGTAACCGAGAGACAAATCTGCCTGCCATCACCGACATGGATGCCGCACAGACCTGCAGTGCCTGGATAGCATTCTGATAACAGGTGAACTCTCCAGAGATGTTCCTCGAGTTCTTGGCCAGACGGTACCACATGTGTGCCAAATAGTCTTCACTCTCATCCTTGAACTTCTGAATTTCCATGGTAAAGTTCTGGCCAAGTTTGGCCTTCACAATGACCATATGTTTGAAAATCAAGCTAAAGAGCAGGAAAAGATGGCACAACATGGAACATACGCAGGACATACGGAACTACTGCTGCCTATGTTCCTGTTGGCAGGGAGGGGACCAGATGGGGGCCTAGCTGGGATTTTCATGCTATATGTTTGGTTCTTTCCTGGGGAGGTGACGTCCTGTAGTGGAAAGGGAGCACGGGGAAGCCCAGTTGAGGAGTGCAGAGACCATCCTAGGGTGCTCAGGGTAAGGGCACTCACAGGCGGTGGGCTGTCCTCGGCAGCACTTGCACAGCCTCATCCAGCACCTTAAGGCCCATCTCCCAGTCATTCTGGTCAGCATGGCTGTGGAAGAGCAGGCTATAGAGTGCAGCACGGAGTGTGAGGTCATCCTCAGACCCTGGGGTAGAGAAGGGATGGAGTCTTAAGGGCCTGGGCAGCCAGCTCCTTGCCAACTGACTTGATGCCCTCTGACCTCTCACTCCACACCCCTACTACCTCACAATCCATGTCACATTCATATGCAGGTATGTACGGATCAGAAGGCTAGAAGTTGCCCTATAGGGCTGGTGGTAGATCATTGTGGCTCTTGCCTGCAGTGTCCCATGGCTCAGGTACTCCTCTGTCTGAAGGAACTAGCTCCAAGTGGCCTCTCTTGTCTCCACTTATCTCTGTCTATTGGCTTTGAGGAGCTCCCTGTAACTCATGGAGTATCTTGGTTGCACAGCACATAGTCCGAGGGCCAGGGTGCCAGGTTTTCTGAGTCCCCTCTCTCTCCTCAGAAAGCCTGTTACTGTTCTTTTAATCCAACAGTGAACAGTGAACAACATGACCACGAGGAAATGGAAACCCTTTCTTCCCTCTGTATCTTACATATTCCCAGTCACATTCAGGGAAGGCTGCAGGCCTGGCCACCAGATTTGTCACACATCCCCGAGGCCATCCTTGGGTGGGTCAGGAGGGTGCTGCTTTTCCTTTTGTCATGGCTCTCATGCTCAGTGTTCTAGTATAGGGGTGCTGAGGCAAGCCCATGCTCTTGTCACATGCTGGCTGAGGCACTGCTCAGGTTGGCAGCTTAGCTGGCTTTCCCTTAACCCAAGGTGGGCTTGAAAAACTGGCTAACCTTGGGCACTTGGGGACCTCATAGTTCCTTTATTATTTGAGCTTGTTCTCTGAACCTGCCAACCGCACTGCAATGGAAGGGATGTTAATGAGCATGCTCATTCTCTTCCTCCTCCTCTTCTCCTCCTCCTCTTTCCGTCCTTCCTTCCTTCGTCTTTCTTTTTTAAGACAGGGTTCCTCTGTTGTAGCTTTGGAGCCTATCCTGGAACTCGCTCTGTAGACCAGGCTGGCCTCACAGCAATTTGCCTGCTTCTATCTCCTAAGAGCTGGGATTAAAGGTGTGTGATACCACACCTGGCCCAGAACTGGAGGGTTGTTTTTGTTGTTGTTGGTGGTGGTTTGTTTTGTTTATGTGTATGGGTTTTTTGCTTGCATGTGTGTCTGTGTACCTCATGTACCTCGCCCAGTGGCAGAGAATCTTACCAAGAAAATGTATTCTTTTCAAAAACCTGAAACCGTACTGAATAGAGCTCTGCTGGTCTGTGGTCTGTTTCCTCGTTTCACTGAGAGGTACATCTCCAAATATTTTATGGTAGAAAACATGATTAAGATGCCATGTAACTGGGCATGGTGGCACACACCTTTAATCCCAACACGTAGATGGCAGAAGCAGGCAGGTGTCTGTGAGTTCAGGGCCAGCCTGGTCTACAGAGCCAGTTCCAGGACAGCCAGGAGAACTACACAGTGTAGAAACCCTGCCTTGAAAAACTAAAAAGCGGAAGAGGAAGAGAAGACTCATCTAGCAGCACAGTGAAGGCTGACTGTGAAGGCTCTCCACTTTGGTGCCAGAGGACCCTGGGTGTCCTTACATGAGGCACTGCAACTTCCAGATCTCTCCCTTTCCCCCAGCTACAAACCTGGAAGGTATTGGCCTTCAGGTGCCATCCCTCCACCCTGGAAGTCAGCTGTTGGCCACTGGTGCAGAAGCAGTGTTTTTTCTGTCTCCTTAAGTGAAACAAACAAATGGCACATTTGGAGGGGACTGATGTCCCTCCATCTCATTCCTCACTAGTATCAGTAAAAAACAAACAAAAGACAGAAAGTGCAGCAAATTTCAGAACCACCAAGTTAGAAAAGGTTATAAGCACATACACCAAACATGCCGCATGCACACAATACCACACATTTATAACACACTGTGTGCTGTATGAAATATGTACCATTCCACACCTAGACCATGCCATGCACATATTATACACACAAAAACCTTCCATACCATATATACATAATGCCACATCACACCACACCATACCACACACTCTCATACTATACACAAGACACCGCATTGTGCACACCATACATACCACACACATTCCATGCACACCATAGTACATACAGGTCTTTCACTTGTTTGGTTAGAGTTACCCCAAAACATTTTGTGTTATTTGTAGCCATTGTAAAGGGTGATGTTTCTCTGATTTCTTTATCAGCCTGCTTATCATTTGTATATAGGAGGGCTACTGAGTTTTTTGAGTTAATCTCATACCATTGTACAATACTACATAACCATACACATATGATATCACACATATATCATACCATGCAGACCAAATTATAACCAACACATTGCACAAACACATAAACATATATGTATATATTATATCCAATATATACCACACCATATGTATACATCAAACACTATGCCATATACACACCCCACCATACCACCCACACTTCATACAATACATACCACATACCATACAACATATACCATCCACATACCACACCACAGCACAATATATACATACCACATATCCAACATAATCTAGTTGTTTTCAATGATGTGAAACATGTTAAATCAGTGGAATAAAGAATTAGAGAAAAAAAAATCTCTGGGACATAGTAAAAGCAATGCTCAGAGGCAAGCTAACAGCTGTGAATATTCCTGTCAATACAGAAGATCTCAAATCAATACTCTGCCTCTAATTATCCAGATAACAGAAAAAGAATAAATAAAACTAAACCAGAAAGCGAAGAGATAAACCAAACTGAGAATCGGGGAAATCCTCTGTTTCAAATTTGCTTAAAAAAAAAAAGAGGGAGTGGGAGATAATTCTGGGCCAGGGGGACAGGAGGTCAGAGGCCACCACTGAGACTGGCCAAGAACCTCCTACCTCTCTGGGATCTGGAGAATGCTGTGATCTGGAGGAGTTGTGAGTAGAGGTCATGCCCAATGTGGGTCATGTCTTGCTTGGTATCATAGCCTATGGGAGCCATGTCCCATGGGGGCTGTGTCCAGTGAAAGTCATATCCCATAAGGGCCATGCCTCAAGGCAGTCATACTCTGTGGGAGCCATCCTGAGGCTGTCCTTTTCTGTGAGTCTGGCCAGGCCTGAGAGTAAGGACTCCTAGGACCCTAGCCTGTGTCCCTACAGCACCTGCTTCTTGGACTCTGTCTTGTTGATGATGTTGATGATTCGCTGGAGGGATCCCTTGGCCTTCTTCCTGTTGACTGGTGAGGACAGAAGCGGGAGCCATGTGTTCCAGTAGTGCCGGGCGGCCATCATCACCAGGGAACTGCTTCCTGCCAGGCCCCCAAACCTGAAATGACATGTCTCATCCAGTTATGCGGGCTGCTCAGGTACTCAGCCATACCTTTCCCCTGATTCATCCAATCCAGAGGTTTCTGGACTTGGTAGGTAAGGAGTGGAATCAGGGTGGTACAGCTTTGGCATCGTACGGCAGGCACCATGGAAGGGCAAACCTGCCCTACCCCCTCCTCAGCAAATTGTTTGGGCCAGGCGCTGCCCACCTCACAGGCCAACGATGGGCTCTCCTGGCCTGGCCCTTACTGTATCTTCCTGCCCCTTGCTACTTAGGGTCCTGTATGCTTAGGGATTCTTCAGACAGCCTTGGCACCCACTTAGCTCAACAGCTCTATTGAGCTTCTTCCAGAACTGCCTGTGGATGCCCTGGTGTCTATGAGCTCGGCTGCATGACAGGATGTGGCCGGTGGCTTACTGGTATACCCAGTTCCTTCCCTGGGACTCAGGAAAGCCCCCACAGCATCACTGTGGCACTGTACCAGTTTTCCCCCCACACATTGCCAAACCATCCCCCAGCTGCATACCTGGCGCTCTCTACAAAGACCTTGGAGGCTGCTAGCCGTAGTTGCTTCCTACCCTTCAAGTTTTCCATGATGCTCCGGCCCTGGATGCAGGACACAGTACACAGCATTTCTGCTGCCAGCTTGGCATCGGTCCTGGAGAGGGCACAGAGTGATTTAGAGGAGAGGTGGGAGGTGATATTTGCTGGGCTCCACTCACTTCGAACACTGTCCTTTCACCCATGGCCCTGCAAAGGTGAAGGTGCATTTCTACCTGACCCTGTGCCTGAGGGACTCACCCAACTGATAGATGATGCAGGACAAGTGACTCTGCCTTCTGAGGCATTCATTGCCAGTGAACTGAGATGCCCACATCTGGCCTGAGTGTCTTGAACATTCATTGAGGGAATGGTCTCTCAGTGCTTGCATTCACAGAAATACTACACAACAAGACCCATGGAAGTTCCTGGAGATGGATAGGCTACCCACAGAATTTCTGAGGATGTGGGAATCAGCTCTGTGGGTGCCTGACTGATGTGTTCTCTAGTACCCTTATGAGAGACCCCAAACCAGAACTAATTGGCAGAGTCCAGTGAACCCACAGAACCAAGAGACAGACTTCCAAACTGGCTTTTAGCCACTTGTTTGGGGTGGCTTTCCACCCATCAGTGGGCCAGTAGAAGTATCTGTTGGGTCTGTCCTCAGCTAGGTTTTGCTTCCTGGGCAGAATGTCTTGTCCCAGGCATTCTGCGCTATTTGATCAGAGGGGCACATAGGCCTGCAGTACCATATCAGAGCAGCACCATAGCTCCACAGACACTCTCCTGGCTCCCATACCCGGTGCAGCAGTGGTCTGGGCACATGCAGAGTGGGGGTGGGGTGGGAGGGGTGGAGTGGGGTGAGACGGGTGGGACATGTTCCAGCTGCCCGGCTCCACAGCACAGACTTTATCCTTGTTCTGGGAACATTTCCTTTGGGTCCTGGGGCTCTAGAAGATGGGCAGCTGCTTGCTGGAGCAAACAGTCGAATATGTTTCAAGGAGCCAGGGGAGGAAGGTGCACCTGATGCTTAGCCTGCAAGCACCTGCTGTACAGTGGGAACTTGTGGTCTTAAGGTAAACCAAGGCTGGGTGGTAATTAACACCCCCCCCACACACTTCATAGGTGGTAGGATAGTGTAAAGAAGGTTGTGACCCTAGCCTAGGATGCAACAATTGGAAATTTTGACCCTTGCAGTGTTCAGGGTGCAGTGACAGCAGTCACCAGGAGGGGACAACAGTGGTCTACAAAAGATCCTCAGGTGGCCTAGTGAGGCACTCAGCATGGCAGTCTCCAGGTTTCCTGTTGCTGTTCATAGCATGGGCGTCTTTGCTTCATTTCTTACAGGAATTTCATTTATAAATTAGATCTGACTTAGTATCACGGATGGAAGAGTGTGCTAGCCTGGCCTGGTGCTGTGCCTGTCTCTTTTCCTGTGCCCAAGCAGACCGTGGCTGTGAACAGTAGTGCAAACAGCACATAGCCACCCTTTCTGCAGAGATGCCCAACTTGTTTATTTCTTCTAAGAATAATGTTTGAGTAACAGAAGTGGATTGATTTTGGGGCACAATTGAATATGACCACCTCTGCCAGCTCTCACCTGATCCCACAGGGTGTGGTTTCTAATCTGTCAGGTCGTGTTCCTGGCCCTACCTTGGGGCCTTGTCAGTCTTTTCTGCATAGCCTGTGGTATGTGGACTTCAGCTAGTCTGCCCTCCCACTGCCCCTTCCAACTCAACATCAGATCTAAGTAAGAGCAAGATGAGCATGGGTGAGATGGTTCAGTGCTAAAGGCCCTGCCAAGGGCCCCTAAAGACACTGCTTTAGTTGCTTTCCTAGTGGCTGTAACCAAATTCCTGGTAAGAACAGTTTAAGGAGGGAGGAGCTTATTTTGGTTCGCAGTTGAGGGAATATAGTTCATCATGGTGTGTGGTGACTAGACCTTTTGCTAGACCTCACAGGCACCCTTCACCACTTAAGATTTAAGACTGCTGTCCTACTGTGTCCTCAAACTTTTGTTTTTAACCTGACTTTATCAATCAACCTTACTTGCCTTGGAGTTTTCATGAAGTCAGCTTTTTCAACCTAAGCTAATGCATAGCTGTAATCTTGTCCCTGACTCAAACAATGCTTGTGTATCACTTGCTGAAAGCAGCAAATGCAGAGGTTGAAAGCTACACCCAAAACCTACAGTGAAGGCTGAAAGCCACCATTTGTGGATATTGGTTGATAAACAATGATGTCTGCTGCCTGGGCCAGTTGGAACCAGAGACCTGATGCCTCATAAAGCTCTGTTAAAGATTTCTATAAAGCATCCTATTCCTCCCCCTGGTGGTGATTTCTGTGCTGTTCAGTAAAGACAGGGGGAAGCCCTTTGTTAGACACACACAGACAGAACAGTCAGACACTGGGAGACAGACACAGTCTTTAGACAGGCACAGACTCAGACTCATGCACCAGAGAACTGAAGACACAGGGAGCAGAGGATTCAAATCTGGACTCGATCTGGGTTAAATAACTCCAAGGGGAGGTGCTTTTCGTTCTTCCTTTAATGTGAGATTGATGTCTCAGAGCTGGTGACTCAGAGTTCATCACTAATGCATATAATCTTCGTGATGGCGAAGAAGGTGGGAGCAGGAGGAAACTGGCCACATGTTTCTGACCCATAATCAGAAAGCAGAGAGATGAATACTGGTACTCTCCTGGCTTCCTCCTCCTGTCCCTGTTTGTGATACCTGCATTCAAGTTGAGTCTTCCTCTCTGATTAAACCTCTTTGAAAACAACCTCAAGGACAACTCAGGAGTCCTGTCTCGTTAATGTCCAAGGTACTTCTTAATACAATCAAGCTGGCAATCAAAGCAAATTAACTACTACAAGCCTACCTATTGTCAGCTTGATACCTAAACACATCGGTTTAAGCCATAACATCCCACCTGTGAACTTAAGTTTCAGGGGGGGGGGTGTTAAAGATGCTATAGGACTGAGTGGTTAGAGCAGCATGATTGCAGAGACCTGGAATGCTGCAGATCCAAAGTCAATATTATTCTGGGCTATCTTTAGTCCTGTCAATAACCATTCAGTTGCCATCTTGGTATTTGACTTAATGTGTTCCTAACTAGAGGTAAACCTTTGAAATGTATTAATATAAAGACACCCAAAAGTGGGTGGACCGTCAGATAGCAGAGCTCCTTGCTTTGCTGCCCTCCTGCTGGCTCCACCAGTGTGTTCAGCCCCAAGGGGCCCAAACCTCCAGTTCTGCCATTTGGAATACATGTGGCTTCTCTCTCGGGCCAGCGCCACTCTGTGCCTACAGCGTCCCTTGGTGGGTTCCTGTGGTCCTGGCATCTCCAACACCCTGAGGCCCCTATGGCAGCTTAAGCAACACCTTCACATTCCACAGGATGACCTCTCAGGATCTCCCTTCAGGAGGCAGGACCCTGTCGCATGCATTATCTGGCCCTAATGGCTTTCTAGGACCTGGGGGAAAGCCTCTGTCAATCTCTCACTCTTGCATTTAGCCTGCCTACAAAACCAGCACCGCGTGAACGCTGCCAAGTTCTGATGTTAGCCTGCGATGTAGTTAGATCCCCTTCCACCACAGGTGTGGTGGTCTCTGTACCCTGGCTGAATCTGGGAAAAGACTTGCCTAGACAGTTGTTTTTGAGAAGAGAAGACTCTGTGTCTTCTCTTCTTTCCTTTCTTTCAAATGAATTTGCATTTCTAAAGGCACCTTTCCTGTGATCTCAGTGCAGAACTTTAGGTTTCTCTCCATGTGCGCTTTGCTAAGACCGCCATATCTGCACAAGTTTGGAACCTGCCACCTCTCTTTTCCTCACCAAACTGCACACTTCTCTTACCTTGTGGCTCCTTCTCACTGTAGATCTGACTAATAGCGGCCAATAACTATGCCATAGCTTTGTTGTTGTGCTATCATGGATTTTCCATTACTTTTGAATTCAGCCTTACTAAAGTGATCAGGACACAGGAAGAAAGCTGCCAGATTCTCTGCCTGAATAGGACAAGAATGTGGCCCAGTCCCCAACAGAGCTTTTCTTCCTCTGGAAAACTTCACGAACTGAGGCTCCCCCACTTATTCCTCTCAGCGTTCTGTTTTTCCACACTCTGGACCAAAACAAAATGGTCCATTATGTTTTGCTCATAGCATTTCTAGGAATTCTCAGTCCTGCAGCTACAAACTCTGCCACATCCCTCCTACAAACCAGTTCTAAAGGCCTATGAGCCACATGGTCATGTTTGTCATAGGAACATTTCTCAGTATCAATGCTATGTCCTTGCCTCTGCATGTGCAGGAAGGTCTGGACATATGACTTCTTCAGTTACGGACATTGCAGTCATGGGGTTCTGCTGACTCTCAGCTCTCAGCAGTTGAATGAACACAGCGTGGAGCTGTCCCTGTGAACAAGACACATGCTTGGCCTTGTCCTTACAGGGCACATATTGTGCGCCATATAAATCCTGCCGACATACCAGGAGTGCTTCAAGGGCTCAGAAAACAAGGCTGGAGACATGGCCCAAGGCTGGAGACATGGGTGTGGGGAAGAACTCTGTGGATTTGGTGAACACTGACCAAGCTGGCTGCTGGGCAAAGGAAACACCTCCATAGCCCTGGGTCATGATTTTCTTTCAGGATAACTGGACTCAGGAAAGAAGCCAAAAAGCCAAGGAAAACAGTCTTGGCTGCATGGTCATTTGTTACAGCATCACCTTCAGGGAGAAGGAAAGACTACCGTTTACTCATCATGGAACATTGTAGGAACTATGAAGGAAGATGGACGTATTCTGGTGCTTCACTGGTGTTGCAGGTAGAATGAGAAATGTCCCTCTGCAGCTCATGTGTTTGCACTGGCTCCTAGCTGGAGGCACTGCTGTGGAAGATGGTAGGACCTTTAGGGGGTGACACTTCCTCCACAGAGGAAGCCAGTCATGGGACAGGCCATGAAGTTTTTGTGGCCTGGCCTTACTCCTTGTCTGCTCCCTACCTCCTGTTCTGCCAAACAAAACATGTGGTGAGGGGTCCCAGCCGCACCCTTCTAGCTGCTGCCTTCTAGCAGCCTGCTACCGTGCCTTCCCTTCATAAGGGACTGTACCTTGAAACCAAGAGTCACATTAACCCTTTCCTCCATTGGACTACCTCTCATCAGTTCAGGGCAATGAGAAAAGCAGCTAATATTTCTGGCAACTAGCAATCTCCTCTGGTTGCCATGAGAGACCTGACAGAGAAGCTGCCTCCCATCCAACGGCCTGTCCAAGGGCAGTGCTATATTTCAGTGTCATGCATCTTGTCTCTCCCAAAAATCACTTGGGCAAATCTGTCTGCACCGGGATTGGAACATGGCTGATCAGAGAACCATATACGTTCCCTAAAGTCACATACTGAAATCTGCTTCCCTGGAGCAGGGGATGGCAGTAGTAGAAGGACTTTTGGGAGAAGAAGGCAGTGAAGGGTAGGGCTGGAGCCCCAGGATGGAATCCTGCCCCATAAAGGAATATAAATGTGCCTCTTTCCTCTTCCACCATTTGAAGTGGCCTAGTTCACTATGTGAACTAAGCAGTGACATTCACTAGACACCAACTGCCACGCCCTGAACTTGAACATCCGGGGTCTATGCCATGAATAATAAAATCCCATTTTGTAGGCTACCCCAGCTGTGGTATTTTGTCCCAGCAGCCTCACATAAGAGAGCCATCCACTCTCTGCCTATCACACACAGCTATGTCTTGCACAGATCTCCTCAGTGAGACCTGTGTGTCTCTTGAGTCCCCATTAACACACAGCAGCGTGGCCCTGCTCACTGTGTTGTCCTATAGCACACACAGACAAACAGATGAAGGGTCACAGCAGTCAGACTCCTGCCAGCTGTCCCTTGCTCAGTAGGACTGCACCTCCGCGCCCCTGCCCTGTGGCATGGGGCACACTCCACACTCTGCTTATGTCACTGTATGCCTCCAGGACACCATCGTGGAGGTCACTTACGTGTCAAACAACCGCAGGTACTTGAGGCCCATCTGTGTGGCATTCTGAGAACACGCCATAGTGATCTCATGGTCGTGGGCCACATAGGCGAAGTGGGAGAGGCGCGTCAGGATCTGCAGCTCCACCAGGGGCTCTGACCAAGTGCACTCAGAGGCCATTTTCACCACCTTCCCAGCATGTGAAGCAGGGGGAGCAGAACAGCACATTAGTAACAATGACTTTCTAGCGGTCCATGGCCCTCAACAATGACCGTGTACATGGCTTGGCACGCGTGTCATCATGGATGCTAATCTCCACTGATCTGTGAAGTCCCTCATCTCATTGCTCCATCCTTATGTCTTTCGCATGCCTGGCCTCCCATATGCCTCTGCCTGTGCTGAGGTCTTGGGATGAAATAGGACACAGAAAGTCCTCTTGGCACATTCCTCACACTGGTATAAAGGACTGTACCATGCAAAAGCCAGATGTGCGCGCTTTCAGAGAAGGCAGTTGTCAGGAGGCAGAGGGAGTGTAATGTGGATGTGGGTTTGAGCTCTGACTACCCCAGCAAGGACCCTAGAGCTCGGCTTCCTCATCTTTCCTGGATGGGAGCTGTTGACTTACCTCTTGGGATACCTTGGGAAACCCACCTGGGCTAGAGGGGGGACAGTGAAGTCCATGAGGCCCAGTCCATTGCACGAGTACATCTCAAGGGCAACAAGGACTCTGGTTATAGAGCTGATGTCCTCGTTGGTACTCTGGAGGGATAGAAGGGCTAGAGTGTCCAGTTGCCCAGGAAACATGGAAGGAAAGATGTGGAAAACTGAACCATTTTTGAGATAATCCTGTGCAGCATTAGTCTCAAGGGAGAACCAGACTACAGTATTTGGAACTTTGGTAAGAATCAACCTCTATGCTATCTTCTCAGTCAAGAAGGTACGAAGTCTGTATATTCCTGAGTCTTTAAGACAGTGTGTCTGGCCACTAAGGAGGGCTTTCTAGAGGTAGAAGGCTGCTGAACCCTGGTAAGGAGGTTGCTGATATGAGAGTTGTCCCATTAACTCCTTCTGGCCCAGTATAAATGTCCCTCCTGGGCCCTCCCCTGCTCCCTCCCTCCAACTCCTCACTGTAATTTACTTGCTACAGGGTCATGGTGGCAGCCCTTGAGTTCATAACCCTTCTCCTTCCCAGACCCTGCTCCCATAGGTTTTGTGTTGGGGGGTGGGCTAGTGCCCTGTCAGTGCAATGACTGGGTCAACGAGTGGCAGTAAGAGAGAGGGGCAGCACCCCAGAGACCCAGAGCTCAGACTTGGTGGACATGTTGCGCCTTGGCTCTCAAGAGTAGCAGTTGTGGCAATGGTAGAGAACAACCTCAGAACTTATGAGGTGGAAACATGCCCTTTTCCAGCAACTGTGGCCACACTTCAGACCATAATGGGAACACCAGTGGGGAAAAGCAGTCTGTGGATCCTAACCCCCCCCCAAGGTGTCCTCAGCACCCACCGGTTCATCGGTGCCCAGTCGCTGCCCAATCTGCTGCTGCAGTAGCTGCTTAGCCTTCACCCAGGTGGCGATGAGATGTTGTCGCACACTGGTGGGGACAATGTCGTCTGGCACGTTCCCATTAGTGAGGTTCAGTGCAAACTCACAGACCTAAATCAAGGTCATTGTCACAAGGCAGATCTAAGAGCCTTGAGCCACCCTCCCTCTGACCTTCCCCCGTGGCCCACCCCCAGCTGCAGGGTGGAGTACCTCCACAGCTGTTCTGATCTCAGGTAAGGCGAAGGACTCCACTGGAACATGAACCAAGTTGGGGCGTACATTCTTTTTCGACTTTTCTGATGTCTGGGTGGGAATCCAGCTGATGATCAGGCCCCGAGCAAGGGCATCACAGAGCATGACCAGCATGATGGAGTCCCTGGAGGGTGTGACATGAGAGCTGTGACAACCAGTGCAGGACACAGCTTAGCCCTGTGTTGAAGCTCACAGCACCACACCAGCTCCTTCTGCCTCCTGGTCAAGATGAGAGGATGGTTGTGGTTTAACACAGTCCATGGGTGAGTGCCACTGGGCCCTAGCTTGCTTCTCCTCCCTCTCTCGCTCCCTTCCTTTCTTTTTTCCTTTCCTTCTTGACAGGTTCTCACTATGTTGCCCTGACTGGTCTGTAACTTACTTTATAGACCAGGCTGGCCTCAAAGCCAACCTTCAGACTTGTAATTTCTGCTGGGGAAACATTAATCCAAGATCTCATTCATCTGGTAAGAAAGATACAGTCATGGATTTCCCATTCTCTCCCCACCCCCAGCCCAAGGCTGGATGACCACTGAGTACCCTGGGCCATGGAGGCCATGCCCCCTCCTTACATAGGCCTTACCCATGCCTTCTAGGCTCTCAACTCATTGTCCCCACAACAGTCATGCCTGACCCCACAGCAGGTGTGGTGTCCACACCTACCCTTTGTAGCTAGTGGCTTTGAGGGTGTTCAGGAGGTGACAGAGGGAATCCACCAGCTCTTTCTGCCTCCCAGCCAAGATAAGGTGACGGTTGTGGTTCATAACATAGACCACAGCATTTTGTACAATCCAGGATTCCCCTAACTCCTGCCCGATCTCTGCAGCACGCAGCCAGTTGCTCATTGCATACTGTGACAGGCTTTCTATCCAGGTTCTGAAACAACATACGGTGCAGCAGTCAGCTCAACATCCAGCCTCCATCTTCCCCATCCCACATACCACTGTGAGCCGGGGCTATCTGAGTCATCCCCACTCAGACCTGGGGACATTTCAGACTGTCTCTATAGGCCAGGGATCCAGGCTCTAGAGAGACTGTCTTGGTGCTCCTCCCCTCATGCAACTGTCCCCAAATGTCCCTGATCACACCTGGTCCTACCTAGCCCTTGCCCTCGGGACATGCCAATCTGTCCTTCCTTTCTACCCAGATACTGGCAAGCTACTCTCACTGATCCTCCAATGCTATGAGTCTTACAGGCCCAGTTAATAGCTCCCTGGTTTGAGGAGGAGTTCTGGCCTAGCCTCTTCCAGGCTGCCTTCTCTCACCTCTTTGGTTGTCTTTACTTCCTGGCTTCAAAAAGCTCTGTAGCTGTGCCGGCCCCCAGCACACATGGTCTGCTTGGTGGTACCTAGACCAGGGCAATGTAGCCACTCAGCATGGTGCTCATGGCGAAAGCAACTCTCTCCCATTAGCCCAGCTGGGAAATTTCTCATCAGGGCCAAGTCTGTTGGGTTTTCCAATTGTTTGATTAGTTCAAGCCACTCTTAGCCATGGCTTACAAACAGCCTAGGCTCTAATATGTATATCCTGCTTCATCCACAACAGGGTCTGGGCAAATGAAACAGTTCTTTAATCCTTGGTCCAGAACAGTGGTCCTCAACCTTCCTAATGCTATGATCCTTTAATCCATGTTGTGGTGACCCATACTATAAAATTATGCCATTGCTACTTCATAACTAATTTTGCTACTGCTGTGAAATGTAGTGTAAATATCTGATATGCAGGATATCTGATGTGTGACCTCAAAGGGGTCACGACACACAGGTTGAGAACCGCTGGTCTACAGGGTGGCTGGGACTCCCACCCACCTGTATGTGATCCACTCTGGATTGCTATCTGGTGGCTCAGGCACATAGCCAGCTGGGTGTTGGCTCACGTCCTCAGGGGGGATGGCCCTGCCATTCAGCTCCACACCTTCCAAGCGCAGCAAGTGGACAGTGGCCTGTGAGGAAGCATGCAGTCATAGAAGCCACAGCTAAGCAGACCATGGCATGGGGAACATACAGCAAATCCTGCTTTTGAAAAAGCCAAACCCAAATGAAAAGTACACGATGAACCTGCATACCCCACCTGCCTCGACAGCCTGCCAATTCCTGCATCCCAAGAAGAAGAGGGCTTCTTTCAGAAGCACAGGCCCCACCCATCATCACACTTCGGTGGGTAGGCAGAGCAGCCTTCATGTTCTACCATGGTGACTGTTCATCTCCCTGAAGCCTCCCAGACTTGCTCTGAAACCTCAAAAGCTGCAAAAGCCCACCTGGCAGGCAGGTGGGGTGAGAGGGTAGGGATCAGGCCAGTCCCTAGCTGGCCGTCCAGTTAGCTAGTCTCAGTCACTGGTCTCCTTGCATGTCAACTCTCAGCACTGCCATTTGGTTGTTTGTTCCCTGAGCACAGGGGTTGTCTTTGGTCATGCTGTGTCACTAGACTCCAATGGAATAAACCAGTGAGTGCTCCCAGCCTCTGCTTTGTTCCCACTGAGTGAAACCAAAGGAAATGCTATATAATTGTGAGGGTAAAACGAATGTTGCCTCTGACACTGGCACAGGTGTGGGGGCTTTGGATACTTCTAGGTCACAACCCACATGGTCCAGCACTGGCTCTCAGTACCATGTCTGTAAAGGAGCAGGCCTATTGGTTTTGGGGAACCAAGATCCAGCCCAGGCATCTGCTAAGCCTACAGAGTCCTATAGCAGAGATCACACCTCCTTCAAGAACTTCCTGAGTCAACTCCAAGTTCAATCCCTGAATATAACTTCACACACAGAATTCAGAAATTATTTCCCACAAAGAAAATTCACACCAATGCACCCCACCCTGCATCTCCGTTCACACTTTTCTCATGCAGTCCTCTGGGAACTGAATTCAGTTCCTCTCCCTAATGTACAGTTTTGTTTAGGGATGTGTATGCTGAGGGGAGCCCGGGTGACAAGTCCCTCTGGTGTGTAAATGGCCACCTCAACACTGGCAGCTACAATGGCCAAGACCTTCATGACGCACCTCAGCACTGAGAAATGACACCTCTGCGATCTTCCTCAGCAGGTCAGAGGACATATTTCTCTGCAGGGTCACCTCAGATGACACCCAGTCAAGCACAGAGCCCTCAGTACCTTTTTTCTTCCTCCCTGAGGGAAGAGCAGCAGGGAAAGATAGGCTCCTTTTGTCTCCCCCTTTCCCTCCCCCCGCTTGCAAACTGCTGCCCAAGTCTCTTCCCTATGTGGGATGAACCCTTCAAGAGGGATAGCATGGGTTACTCTAACCCTGTATTCCTTGTGGTTACTATTGGTCAGTTTTAAACACAGCTGCCACTCAGTGTTGCTGAGACCCCTCAGGGGTACTGAGGTACAGTCCCTTTTATAAAATGGTTCCATGCACACATGGAACATTGACAGCACTCCTTTGAACTATAAACTTTGACTTTGACATTGGCTGCAATGTATACACTGTGTGGATCACTGTTAAAGGGCAATGTTCAGGGACAACAGCCAGGCTGTGTATGCTCAGAATAGATGCCTGTTTTTGTTACAAATGCTTTCAAACCTTTATGGTTGATGTTGTGGGTGTAAAGATACAGATACAGAGGCCAGACCAAATATGTACTCAGAAATGTTGCTATCTGTGCAAAGGCCCTTCTAGACCAAACACATGATCAGGACCCTTCCAGGAGGGTCCCACTGGCTCTGTGTTACATCCTTTGCCTAGTGTCCCTTGGTGGGATCGACTGGTTGAGAGGTGCTGTGGCTGTCACAGCCACCAGAGGTTTATGAAGCCCTAAAGCTCAGCCTACCCACACGCCAGGGGGCCACATGCATGGTAGGGATGCACACCTCGTTTTAGCTTTGCAGTCTTCCTTGACTTGATACTGTCGTACAGAAGGCAGAAGCGGGTTGCCGTGCGGCAGACATCACACACGTCTTGCTTCCAGGCAACTTTGGCCAGCTCAGCCCAAATCACAATTCTATACATCAAGATCCCAGTGGTGAAAAGAAAGTACAGGTGGAATTAGGAATACCTGGAGGGACTGTCCCAGGGAAAGCCACCCCACAGCATCCAGGTGCCAGGTATTGAGATACACAAGTGCAGCTGGCCCAGGGTATGAACAGGAAGATGGTCCCAGATAGTGGGGTCAGGCAGGGGCCATAACTCAGGGGTGAGAGCTGGAGCAGTTTGTGAAGTCAAGGCCCAGAGGTCAGAGCTAGGGCTGTCCCCAAGGTCATGTGAAGCTCTCTGGCTGTTTGCCCCCCCCCACGTCAGTGACACTTCTGGTCATTTAACCCCCCCCCACATAATTCATTTCCCTGCATGTGGTGTGGATGGGTCTCCCTGGGTTGGGGGACTCCTGTTCTGGCCTTGACCAGGATGCCCCAATAAGTGGCTCAGTGTTCCACAGGGAAGAGCCACACCCTCAGCACAGAGGCTGCAATGAGGAGCATCTCTGACAGGGTCCCAGGTAGCCATGAACCCAGTGCCTGGATGAAAGTCTCAGCTGACAGACCCTCCTTGCTGACACTACTCCCTCCTTCCTGGATCACCTCTCTTTGTCGTTCTCATTCCCCAGACGCCGCAGGTGCCCGGCAGCTTTGTCCACGCTGAGGATGTAATGTCGAGCTTTTGCACAGAGGTAGGTGAAGCGGCCCCTGGTTTTCCCAGTGGAAACTGAAAACATCAAACATTCGAGATGAGGAGGTGGGCCAGGGTTGGGCATGGAGTAGCACTGCTGACCCAGGCAAATGAGGCCATAGTCTGCAATGTGGTTTTGACAGCTGAGCTCATTCTAGGGGTCCGAAGAGGCCCCAACATCAGGGCATCTTTGCTTTTAGACCAGCAATGACATCGAGCTACTGTGGCGTGTGTGGAGCCTCCAGCTCTCAGAGACAGTCTGTATTAGCTCAGAAGCACCAGGTCTCTGACCTGTTCCCCGCATCCACCCTGGCCTCTGAGGCAGCAGCACCCACTATTCTCTGCCAAGCTCAGCAATCATGTCTGCTTGATGTAGAGGTTCTGAGTAACTGTTCATTTTCCAGACCTAAGATGAACACCCACCTAGAGCTCAGTTTCACAGTGAGAGCCAGCTGCCCAGTGCAGAGCAGGCACAGGAGACACCAAATAGGAAACTTGGGTTTGGGCTTGGGTGGGGGATGCTCCTCCTCCTGGGTGACCTCCTGCCTCCTCCATGCTTCCATATATAACATAGGTGTTCACTTGCTGGGGTACCCTCCCCCTGGAACCCTATGCCTCAGCATCTCCTGCAGGTGCCAGCTTGGCACTATGTCCTCTGGTGAAAACTCTGGGCCAGCCATTTATATTCATCTAATGAAACCAAGTAGGACAGGCCCACCCATGTAATGTCAACAGACCTACAGCTTCTCAGACTTATGATAGTCAAAACAAAATCAGAGCCACGAAAAGGTCAAAGGATATGGTGGGGTAAGACAGACCGCTCCTGGGCTGGGAGGGCTATATTTCTGGGGGCTACATTTATCCCAGCACAGGGCCATGATTCCATCCTCCTTTTCTTGCCCCTGTCTTGGAACCACAACATGGGCTACAGCCAACTCAACTTCAGACCGTCATCTCCAAGAATCACGTCCCTATAATACTTTTTGTCAGAGCTGTGCTCTGTGTCAGAGGGAGCTCCAGGAGAATGCCCCTACCAACTATAAGACCTGTCTGTGGCTCCAGCAACAGTGGCACTGCTTATCTAGCCAGAGTTGCTGGCTTGTCCCTAATAGATGGGCTCAGCAGCCATAACTAGGGTATAGTACAACCCTGTTTCTACCCTGGGGACAAAGTAAGTGGCCCGGGTAAGTGAAATATCCATGACTTTGATACAAAGAGCATCCCAGAGCTGCCATCTTTGTTTCTCAGATGGTACTGTGGACTGAATTGTGCCCCCAGATAGGCTGCTTCCAAGTCCTGCCTTTGGGGCTCCAAAATGAAGTCTTGTTCTCAAGAGAAGGGGGTCTGAATAGGTGATAAGGTTGAAGAGAACATCAGGAGGCCCTCCTCACTCTATGACTGAGACCTTCTACAAAAAGGACATTGAGGTAGACCTATAGGACAGCCAGTGAGGACATAGAGAAAAGCTGACTATCTACAAGCCAAGGAAGATGGCACCAAGACAGACCAGCCCATCACATCCCCATCACAGATGCCCAGCATCTAGAACAGTGAGGTTAAGTTCTGGCTGTGGGACTCTGCTACTGTTAGTCACTTGTAGATACAATCTTTCTCTAGTGCTTCCAGAGACTGATATGATGTTTTACAAGGTCAAGGCCAGTGAGTTCAAGGCCACTTAACCTTTGGCCTCATTCTCGCTGTCCAGCACGATCTGGAAGGTGTCAGGTGCGAGGGCCAGGCCTGCGTTCACCAAGAGTGCACGCTTCTTCCGGGCACTGTCTTTCAGGGTGGCTTTCTTTGCCTGCAAATAGTAGAATGCGCACAATGTGAGATAGCCCCACCCCTGGGACAGCTGAGACTCTTGAGGCATCCTGTGGTTCCACCCACAGGCAACAGAGCTCCCACAGGCCTTCTGTATGTCAGACCTCGAGTAGCTAAGCTTGGGTCTCATGCTTGGTTCTGCATGGTCAATAAGACCCTCTCTGTCCAGGGTTTCCCCTTAGACCCTGCATTTGAAGGCTGGCCCCCACAATGGGTTGTGTCTGTACCTGTTCAATGGCCATGATGGCCTTGTCCTCAGGACGTTCAGGGGACTGGTACAGCATGGTACACAACTGCAGCCGGCTGTAAGCCACACTCATCTTGTCCTGGTAGAGGCCTTGGCTGTCCAGACGCATGGCCTTCTGCAAGTGCTCAAGGGCGGGCTCCAGCCGGTCCTCATCCTGCTCAATATATGCCATCTCCATGTGGACTTGGCAGCGCATCAGGGTCATGAGACTAGAGATAGCAGCACATGTGAGGGAGCTATGGTGGGCTGCTAGTGTGCCTATGGGACTTTTGTCCAGTCACCGGCAAGAAGCATGGAATGATATGGCTGCCCAGAGCCCGGCTTTCTAACCTCCTCCCTCAGAAAGGGAGAGAAAATCTGCAGTGGCTGTTCTGGGCCCCTGGGGACATGCTCACTGAGCCTTGGGCCCAGGCTGAGAAGAAGCAAACAGGGAAAAGGTCAGTGTAGCACTTCCTATGTGACACAAGCACAAAGGCAGGCCCAGCCTTCCTGTGGCCACCCGCTATCACTGTCACCCTGCGGTCTGCTGTCATGTACCTCTGTCTCCTGGAATATACTTGGTGTTCATTGTCTTCGCTGTGATGGATACGCTGTGTGTTTGCCCAGGAGGCTTAGCCACATTCTGGCTGGAGTTCAGCCAGGGTTGGAGAGTAAAAGCTTTATACAGTAGTGATGTGGGGGGCACCTCAAGCACCACTGCAGAACACAGAGCTAACAACCTATGGACTGCTGGATGGAGATGCTCTAGGACCTATATGCTTTGTGCTAAGATGGAGAAAGAAAGCCATAGTAACATTCTCATGACCTCAGGGGTAATATGAAATACTATGAGGCTGTGCAGAGATGTGAAGAGACCCTGTGGTAACAGGTATTGGAGCACTGTTACCCAATACAGCAGAGATCTGGTGCACCATGGTGCCTACTGTGAATGGTGTAAGAGGAGCCCACATGAAACTTGCCAGGAGCAGACAGCAGTGGTCATTCATAAAGAGAAGCTCACTGAGACCAGAAATGAAAACCACAACCGACAGAAACTCTCTTCTGGGATCAGTGTAGAGCCAGGATGGGTCTCTCCCTGGAGCACATCACAGTGCATGCCTGATGTACCCTCCCTGTTGGGAGTTTTGTGCCATCCCTCTCAGTAACCATGGAACTAGGCCCCTCACTGACAGAATTTGAAAACAAGCCAGATAGCTGGCCCAAGGCTACAGTTGCTTCTGCTTCCAACTATGATGGAGCCACCTGGTCACCCACAATATCTGAAAAACAATCTAACAAGAGGGTAGCTGTTTCTGGGAACTGATGTGGGATAGCATGATAACGGGGTCCCTTGCAAGGAAACTCATGAAGGGAGTAGCCATGGGCTCCTGAGAGGCAGAGCAGGTGGACACAGTATCCTCTGAACAGGTGGCAGAGTATGGGCTTGCTGAACAGCAGGGATCTCCGCTCTCAGCAAAACATAAAGGTCAGCCTGAAGAGAGCCCATGTCCTGGACAATAGTGTGGACCCCCTGGACCCCAATAGATACTCTAGAACAAGATGGGCCAGCCAATGTGACTTTAAGATCATCAGCCAACATTAAAGTGCCACCAAAAACAAAAACAACGCTTCTTTTAAAATGACAACAATCGTGGTACATTCAGAGCTTTTGGGAAGCAGAGGCAGGAGAAGCATTGCAAGATGGAGGCCAGCCTGATTGATACAACAAAGTCATGGGTAGTCAGGGCTGCATTGTCTACAAGCCACTTAGGACCCTGTCTTAAACAGACACAAATGCAAAGACTCCCTAGGATATCACCTGTAATGCCTAACATAGACTTGTCAGTCATCAGTCATGCCCTAAGATGGAAGACTATAACACAGGGTCCAGGACACAGATAGGCTGGTTGTTGGATTGTGCAGATAAATCTTTTAAAGTTGATATCACAGTAAACATGTCATGAACCGGCTCACAAAAAAGGGGAAAACAGTGGTAACAAGTAAATACTAGACCCAAAAGCTGTGGTGAGTGAAAGAAGGACCATTCTAAACAAGTATGATGGCAGAGCGGACAGCCAGGAAGACCATGAGCCTGGAAACAGAAATGGCCTGACCAGAAGAAACAAAGAATTAAAAAAAAAAAAAAAAAAAAAAAAAAAACAGTGTCCAGGAGCTGTGAGGGATGCCCCAAATTCCGTGTGTGTGTGTAGCTAGCATCCCAGAAAGAGGAATACATTCAAAACCATAGCTCATAACTCCCAAGTCATGTAAAAATGTCATCTAACATATTTGAATTACATATTATATATATTATAAAAGGCTCCTAGGAATATTATAATCAACATGCTGAAAAAATTGAAGAGACAAGCTTAAAAACAGGAGGGGAGATGGTGCACACAGAGAGCCACACTGCACTGGACTGTCCATCAGAGATCATGGAAACTGGAAGAAAAACACCTGCAAGGTGTTTAAAGAACAGCATGTCTGCCAAGCCTACATCCAGTAACAAGCAACATGTTTTCTGAAACTGAGACAGAGTGGGATCCATTCAGATCAGCAGGGTTGAGCATGCCCATCAGCCATGCCCTGTGCTTCAGGATGAATGTCCCCCAGAAGGAGAACTCTGCTCTGTGGAAGAAGGAGATGTTCCTGGAAGTTCCAAAAATGGGGTGAACATAAGAGGCCATGGTTTGCCAGCAATAGGCACAGCTTAGCTGTGGGGTGGCACCATGGTGGCATAATAAGGCCAGCATCTCCATGGGTGGAGAGAGGGGTGGTCCAGACTGCTCACCTCATGGTAGATAAGCTGTGCAAGTGGGCACAGGGAGCAGGCATGTTGGAGTCTGCATCAAACAACATAGAATTCCAGACTAGGCATGCATACAGCCTTAATGAAGAATGCATTTGCCAGAGATGAGGGAAGGCAGTGACATCACACACTGGCTAGGACACGCAACGCTCCCCTCCCTGGGGTCTTTACAGCTGACAAAACCGGGATGCAGAGCATGTGACCCACCCAAGCATGGTGACACAGTGCACTGGGGCTGGGCTCCCTCATTTCAGTCCAAACTTAGGGACAGTCTCAGACTGAAGATCTTCCCAGGATACAGCTGAAGTCAAGAGATAAATAAAACTAAGTGTCTGTGAGGACAAGGAATGACAGAAACCCTGCAATGTGGTATGTGAGCAAAGGGCAGTGCACTTAGAAGAAGGAAGGAGTCTTTGGATTGTGGTGATAGCCCTCCACAACAAGCCCACAATGGCTATTGAGAATACATCTACAAGTCCCTCTCCAGACAATTACCACCACCATACAGTGACAGGTAGATAGAGCGAGGACTGTTTATGCCATGAGGGTTCTTGATCTGGGTTCCCTGGGTGACTGAAAGACCTCTGCTGAACAAGTGAAGCTCGGCTCTTGTACCTGTGCACCCCCCAAGTGATGCTGAGAACAGGGTGGACACACCCTGGACTCTGTCTGTTTGTAGTACTAAAAATCCCTACTGCGGCTCTCCTCCACTAAGAGCCCCCAGGGCTAACACAGGAGAAATGGTGCCCACCTATCAACTTTTTCCAGAATCTCAGCAATGGTGGTCAGTGGCTTCCGGAGGTAGCGCCTCAGGTTGCGCTGTAGCAGGGGCAGGCAGGTGTTCCATTGGGTGGTACACAGCACATGGATGGTCGTGGGGTCACCCAAGCGGATGGCCCGCTGCAGCGTGATATCCAGTCTGTTTATGATGTCCAGCTGGTCCTGTAGGGAGCATGTTGAGGGTTGTGAGACTAGGATGGGAAACTAGTTATGGTTACCATATGGAAAAGCCAGTGCTGGGGATGGCAATCAGGGTAGATGGCACATTAGGGGGTCAGGCAAAGTTATCTCCAGGTCATCTGATCAGGGCCCCGATCCCTCTGAGAATGCCATAGTGATCACTCCTATTCCATAGTGGGCACTCTATGAGGCATTCAGACAAAAGGCTTAGACATAGCCACGGTTCATTGTGTTTCTTGCACAAGTGAAGTCAAAGTCCATTTATTTCTTCCTGGAGACTACTCATTCATTCACTACCGAGGAGAGCCATCTCTGGTTTGTGTTATGTGTCCTTTCCAGCAGAAATGCCCCAGGCTGGAACACTCTCACCATGCACTGAGCCTTTCCTTAAACCCCACACCTATCCTATTCTTGCCTGCATCCCCCATGGCCTCTGGTTTCCTGCCCCCAGGCATCTCACTGTCATGCTATACCAGCACTTTCAAAGCTAGCCTGACCCCAGTGGTCCTGGGTCCAGGGTAATTCTGATTTGGGCTTAAGGCTTTACCTCAACGGCTCCTCGAAGGTACATTTTAATTTTACTCTCCAGTCTCAAAGCTTCTAATTCACACTCCAGACCTTCAATTTCTAGCAGCTTGGCAGGATCCTGTGAATGCAGATGGAATTTGGAGCACAAAGGCATAAATGACAGCAATCATGTACACTCATCAGCCTTCAAGCCCCTTAAGATGCCTTGAATTTCCCAGAAAAAAGCAGAAACCAGAAATTGGACAATCAGAGAATGGCGCAAAGTCATGGGAGGAATATGTACCATGTCTCAGAAGACACAAAGAGAGAAAGACGTTCTGAACCCTTTTAACAGGAGGAGAAATAAAAACTTCGTTGATTTTAGAGAACCTTGATTTTCCCTTATTTTCCCATTTCTCTCTCTCTCTCTTTTTTTTAAATGCAGACCCTCACATTTTAGCCAAGACTTCCCCAGAACTCACGCTATAGCTCAGGACGGCTTTGGACTCAGGCCAGTTCTATCTACCTAAGTTTCCTGAGTGTGGTGGGGATTACAGAAGTAAGCCACCACATCTGACCTAAAATTTAAAAAAAAATCATGTGAACATATGTGTGTGAGTATGGAAGTCAGAAGGCACTTTCAAGAGTTAGCTCTCTCCTTTTGCAATGTGGATTCTACAGATCAAACTCAGGTTGGATCTGGTGGCAAGCACCTTTACACTAAGTCATCTCAGCCTCTGGTTTAAATTCTTCTTCCCTTTATTTTTAATTGAGAATTAAACGACAGAGTCTAGTTATTGCTGTCAGCATGTGTACCGGTATAGAGCCCCCTCCCAAAGGTGACATCCCTGAAGAAAACGGATCCTCCTTCTCCCAGCAGCCATCAGTTGCCAATAGTTTCTGAGCCAGGCGTGGGACTTCTGACTTCCTCATTGCTGGCTGAGATTTATGTGTGGCTTTGTCTCATATGGGTCTAGTGCATGCTGTCACAGCCACAGTCAGTTCACATGGGCAGCAGCCCAGGAGACACTGTTTCCTTAGAGTCACTCATTGTGTCTGGCTTTGTAAGGTGGGACATGATATACATTGTCCCATATAGCCTGAGCATTCTGCAATTTCTTATTCTTTGAATGTTGACAAGTTGTGGGGCTCTGTGTTAAGAAGCTCTCTCACAAGATTGAGTGAAGCACTTATCTATGAGTATGATAAGTCTTTAGGAGCCAGTCTATTGCTGTGTCCGTTCAGCAGAATAGTAACAGTATGATTCTCCCCTAAAGCCTATAGCCTGCCTAGCCTCGGATTCTTGGCCATGCTAACACTGCCAACTATAAATTCTGCCATGTGGGGTAGCCTTAAGGCTGATCAGAAAGTAGTTGTTCTCCCCCATAACATTTGTGCCACTATTGTGCCACAAGTGGGCATATCTTGTTCTGCCTGTTGTTACTGTGGCTCATGATTCACAACTGGGTAACACTAATGGCTACTTTTCTCCCTTGGTGGTGTGTTTAGAATCAGCACTTTGGAAGCTAGACAATGGGGATGAGGCATCCACATACCAGCTTGATTTCTCTACCTTCTATGACAAAAGTATATCTCTAGCAATGCGATCTTACCATCAAATTCTGGAGGGCAACCAATAACAACGATAATATTCTGTAATGTTGCAGGGACGTCTGTGAGACCCTGGCTTAAATTTTTAAATAATAAAACTAGCTTTCAACATCTATGAAATTGAGCAACTGTATTTTATTTCATTCCTACCTGGGGTCCTGGCACCAAACAGCAAAAGCTCCTGGTTTTGGTATGAGGTACCCTGCCTTTGTGGGGGAGTGTGACTAAAGTCCTGTTCCTGCCATCACTGTGACCATTGCAGGGTTCTTTGAGTGAACCTTGTTCAAGGACCTCACCCCGGCCTTGAAATCCCATAGCTGGAAGTCTGAAGTTTAAAGAGGCAATTTATGAAGAGGGGCACAGCCAGAATTTCTGAGCTTTTCCATGTTATACAGTTACACTGTTCAAGTCTTAATGACAAAGCATTTCAGAGAACACATGATGCCTGTGCCCAAGGTCCAGGCTTCTATAGACAGAGGTGGCTCCTGCATGGATGAAACTCATCTCTGTGTTTCACTGGCAGTTTTAGTTTATTCAGAGAATAAAGGGCATATAGTCAGCTGCAAATATTTGATGTGTACAATTTGACAAGCTTTGGCTCTTGCCTATACAAACCCAGGAAAGCCTAATCAGCTGAAGACACAGCACTGACCCACCGGTTTCCTGGACCTATGTCCATGCCCACTGGCCACCCAAGCATCTCATCTACTTTCCAAACAACATCTTCATTTGCTTAGAATGAGTGAAGGAATCACATGATGTTCCCTGTTCTTAAACTTTGTTATACACAACCAGAGCATGGTAAAGTGGGGAAGCTTCTACTACACTCCTAATCACTCAACTTGAGAATTCAGAGTTTGGTTCTCTGGCTGTAGAGGATGGGAGCTATACCCAAGTTGTCTGCAGAGAGCTTGGCTGTCTCACTTCTCCAGGTAACCTGTTTCCCCAATATGAATGCCGTCCTAGTGTGAATATGTTCACCAGTGTTCAGCTAAGGGGTCAGGGCAGCTTCCCCCAGTGCCTGTCACTCCTGCTCATCTGCCCTGTGACCTGTGGCTGCTTTATCCCCACTGTACCCCACCCCCACCATGAGCAGGCTGATGCCCTGGGCTTCTCCTGAGGTCCCTTACAGATGGTTAAACGGCACAGGACTTTCCCTCATTATCTGCTGTCCAGTGCCTTGAAGGTCGTGGTTTCTCATATGTTGTTTAGTGTTTAGGTACTTCTGACTTGAAGACAATGTTGCTGCATCTCTGCTGTTTGGGCCACAAGCTAGACTCTGTCATTGTCTCCCTGCGCCCCTTCACATGGCACAAGGCTCACTTATTTCTGGACAGTCACCTAGAATTGTGTTTTTGCTTTTATTTTGCCAAAGTGTCAGACATTTAGGCTCAGTGCTTCTTCCTCCTAGGGTGTGTCTCCTTACTGACCCTGAAAGTGGCCTGGCTCTTTGACTCCCAGCCATAGGTTCCTGCAGGCCACACAAGGGGCTGCAGGCCTAAAAGCTGGCCATTTTCAGCAAGATGGAGACATTTCTTGAGTACCTCTTAGGCACCAGCTTCTGTATCGGGAGGTAGGAGTGTAGGAGGGAGTAAGCCAGATGTGTTCCATTCTCAAGAAGGCTGCATCCCAGCAGGGAAGATAAGAGACAATGAACATATGACGACACATACTTCTCACGAAGACCCCGGAAACTTCACTGGCAAAGAACGGCCAGTCTTCCCTAAACTCTGTACCAAGGATGGTAACAAATAACAAATGTTCTTTGCCAAATTGAGACATCTATTCTCACAGGGAAAGAATGGAGGTGTTTTTCACAGGAGATTAAAAAGAGACTAAACAGAAAACAGGATGTAAAAAGTTGGAAAACGTACCAACACTGACCTACTATTCCACAGTTGTCTACAGAAGCCTTAACTAAATATGTAAACTTATCTCTCTCAAGTATACATGAACAAGAATGACACACCTTGGACACATTGAGATGGAGGCCTGGAAAAGGCCAGTGAGGAGAAGGGAGGGTGTGTGGAATCAGAGGCACAGCACCCTCAACCCTCCCCTGCCTCTGAGTTAAAGATACTCAGAGCAAATGGCCAAGGCACACTACCACACAGGACACAGCTTCAATTTGAGAAGGCAGAGCCAGGAAGCCCAATGGCCTCCTCAGAATGTTAGTTGGGGAGCTGCTTCAGCAGATGACAGAGAGCCTTGTGGATGGGCAGTAGCCATGGAGGAGTAGACGAGAGGCCTGCACCCGGGCAGTGCTCTTGGGGTGGAGTTGAATGCTCTTTGGTCTTGTAAAAGTTTCCCTCACAGGCCTACCTGGCACGGTGGGGTTGTCCCCACACCTCTTCCCTCACTAACAACAGATGTCATTTTGAGATGTGCCCCGTTAGCACTGCTATCTTAGAGACAAAAGCCATGATTGAGGGAGAGAAGGAAGCTCTTGTTGGGTGAAGAGGGGACAATGCTGGGTTTGGGTGCTGGTGTCAGAGACACCTAGAAGAGGAAAATGGACTACACAAGGGTTTGCTCAAGTGCGATGAAATAAACTCATCAGATGCTACTTCCACACTCCATGTGTCCCCAGCCTCAACTGCTTCCTCCTCGCCCCATTGACCAGTCCTGTCCAAGTGCCATCTGATGGTCAAGGTCCAGACGGAGTCTTATTTTCATTTAAAGCAGTCCTATGTGCACCCCAGTTTCCCTTTGGCTATGTAAACTGCTCCAGCCTGTCTGCTGCCCTGTGGATTTATTTAGATGACAAATGAAAGGCCACATAGAGTCACCCTCATAGGCAACCTGGACTGAGCAGACAGCAGGTGTTCAATCAAGACAGGGATCAGGTTGTCCAGCACAACTGTCATCAAACCTCGTTCCTGAACGCAGCCTCTCCACTCTGGAAATGCCTCATTTAGAGCGCTACCATCCCAAAGCCCGCTTCTATGCCTGTGTGCTCCAAACTTCCCCTGGATGGCAATATTGTTGTAAGTATATAAAAAAAATTAACAGTGACCATCCTTGATAATCCATGTCATTGAGGAATCCCCAATTGCTAAAGTATTAGTTTAGGCATAGAACTTCTATTGTAGTCCTTCATGAAATAAGCACAACTTAAGTATGATTTAAATGTTCGGCTCAGGGGAGCACGGGGTGCATCATTCCTCCTATGAGCCTTACACAGCCCTTCCCTGAACAGTGGTGACAACACAGGCCAGAGCCAGTGACAAAGGTGAAAGGAAGGCCAGCAGACACGTCAGTACGCTCTTGCAGGAGGCGCGTGCGTGCGAGGACTGAAGGCCTCCCCACCAACACTTCTCTTTTTCAGCCCTGGGGCCATAGTTTTCTGAGCTACCCCCTGTAGCCACCACCCAGAGCTAACCTAAGTCACTTACTTTGGTTTCAATTTTCTTCAGATCTGACAGGCAGCTGCAGGCCATTGGTTCATTTTTCAAGGTCAGAGACAGGCGGCCCAATTCAAAAAGCAGAAGCATTCTGGAAATAGAGGGACGGGCAGGCCCTGGCTCAGCATAGGGCAGGCGTTCACCTGTTTGGCAGTGGCAATGCCAGTCTCGCTCCACCGTGACAGCTGGCGGGGCAGTGGCAGGAGCTAAGAGTGAAGTGAGACAAGCTACGGACCTGCTGTGCCGAGCCTGCCCCCTGTGACCCGCAGCTCTCCACAATGCTGCATCTGTCCCCACTGGACACATTGTCCACACCCAGAATTCCAGGCTACTGCCCAGATGCCATGAGGCACCGCAACACTGGGCCATCACAAACTCCTTGTGTAGTTGCCCAGTGAGGCTCTGTCAGTGCCCCCCTTGTGAACACAATTTAGGAAAAGGCCATATAGAGAGAGACACAGCACAGGCCCTTCCTCCCTGTGACAGGTATATGGGATATCATCAGTACAGTCACCATCACCAATCTGAGTTGCAGTGGGTGGTACTTAAATGTGTATTAAAGTGTAGGGCTTGTGACAGACAAACACCTTTGAAAAAGAACTGATTGGTAGAGGCAATCGCCCATTTTTAAGACTTACACTAGGCTATGGTCCTTTAGGAGACTGGCCAGAGCTTCCTGACCTCAATCTTGGACCATTTGCATCTCATCATACTCTGTCCCACTGCTACATCCCTGCTTCCCTCCCACTGGACTCCGGCAATATCCCCAGCAGTGACCACTAAGTGTCTCCAGATACTGGCAGCCACACTAGACTCCAGCAACATCCCCAGAAGTAGCCACTATGTGTCTCCAGATACTGGAAGTCATTCTGGGGGAACAGACTCAGCATCTCAGCTTTAGTAATGTTAGAGATACATCCTGACAGAGTCTCAGTGACTGCATGTGGTGGTACCACCTTCCATTGCTTTGGTCTTGAGATGTTCCAGGTGGGAGGCGGGTTTAGGAAGAGGGGATCTTTTTGCTGCTCATCCTTCTCCCCTCAGGCTCTGCATATTCAAGTCATGGCCCTAGGACTTCTGCCTCCACATGTCACCTGAACTCTGGGCCTGACAGGCAGGTCAAGAAGGGGGGAACCAGGAAAGGGTAAATAGCTGATCCCTGGACCATTTTGGTTTTAAACAAATGTCAGATTCCTAGACACAGAACCTCAAATCATGTTACTGCAATAGGGCCCTGTAGTGCCAGGAAGCTCCAAGGCTCTCTAGGTTGTGGGGAAGGATCCTACATCCATTAAAAGGCAGCTCAGGCTGCTTATGATGTACCCTGGGCAAGCGGGAAGCTATACAGCTGTTCCTTAGGAATGGTAGTCACGTGTGGATTGCACAAAGAGCTGTGAATGTGAAATAGTCCTGGGGTCCTTCTGGACATGATAGGTTCTGGGGTCCCTGTGCAATTCAGCTAGCGGTTTACACAGAAGTGGAGACTTGGAGGGTAGCTCCCTTGCAGCTCGCTGTAGGGAATGCATCTGAGGTATGTTGACAGAGGAAACATCAACCAGGAGGCCAAGGCCAGTGAATTCCTGAGAATCCACACATCCACTCCCAGGTTCCACTAAGCAGCCAGAGTTCTCCCATGTAAAGGACCAAAGACAGCATCTGGCCCAGGATTAATGGGAATAAATGTTAGCTCGCATTATTCTAATGTTTCTGTGTATCAAAACTTAGAAAAGCTTAAATGGTCATCTGGATAACTTGTACCTATAACAAAGCTGAAAGGCTCCGATCTCAATACAGAAAGCTCTTGCAGTCAATTGCATAAAGGCTATGTATACCATATTTTTAAAGTCAGGTAAAGGAAGGTAAGTAGACAACAAAGAAAACGCTGCTCATACATGTCTGGCTTCATCATGGCTAAGCAATGGGACTTCTACCTTACAGGCTCAGAGTAGTCACCAAGACATTAGAAAGCAAGCTTCCTGTGTACCGGCCCTGTGCAGCACTCTACAACCCCTATTTCTAGGAGTTTACCTCAGAGAGCAATGCAGCAAGCACGTTCTCATAAGGGATCTCACCATCACCAAACCCCTGGTAGAATACCCTGCCATGGACAGGACAGCTAGAGTCTGATGTCAGATAAAGTAGCATGGAGAATCTTATGACAGATGTGGCCTTTCTTCTAGGAACATGCACATATACATGTCCGCATATACATGAGTACTCAGTCCTCTCAGAGAGCTGTTATTAACCTGACAAGAGGTTCTGGAAGCTGGTGTGGGGAGCCCAGTATACAGAAAGACCTCATTCCTCTCCTCTGGCTCTCACTTAGGCTGTAGGGTCCTTGGGACTCCAAATGTGACCCTTTGCATGCTCTTCCCCCGAGGAGTATGTGTCATGCACTACACAGCCACTGTGTGCAGACGGTCTAGCCCAGCCCTGAACCGCACACAGTCCTGTTTATCAACAGCTGTCACTTTCCCTGGCTGTTCTGATGAGGCAGGCCGTCCCCACTGGAGATATGCTATGGGCCATAAGGAACTAATTGTGCCAGCAGCCATGTCAGCAGGGAAGCTCTCTCCCAGCTTAGCTGCCAGAAAGGCTTGAGGGAGGCAGCTAAGATCTTGTTGTTTAAATGAACAAGAGCCCTGCCCACAGACACAACCAGATAGATACAAATGTTCCCCGGTTCTATGCCTCAGCTTATGGTCATTTGTCACACGGCCACAGGCAACTGACACACACTCTGGGTCACTTTTCTGGGTTTCTATAAGCAAAGCACTACAGAGTGAGCATCATAAAATTGTAGGCACGATTGTCAGGCCAGACCTCAGATCAAGGTGTTCCCCCAAGCTACATTCCATTTGAAGACTCAGTAGAGGGTCCCTCCTTGCTTCTCCAGGTTGTGGCCAGTAATTGTTGGTACTTCTGTTCCCATGTGTGTCTTAATTTCCCTTTTCTTAAAAGGACACCTGTTCTGGGAGTCAGAGCCCACCTTAATTGGGCACGACACATCTGAACTGTTTATAGCTACAAAGGTCTGCTTCCGCATCACTGTGCAATCTGATGGAGACACCACTCCCATCAATGGCACATCCTCTTGTATGGAACACTCTACACACTTCAGCCCAAGTCAGTGGCCAAGTGATCCCAGAGGCCAGCTGCCTCCGGTAACACTGGTTATCATATGGAGAGGCTCTGTGGCTGAAACAAGTGTCACAGTCAAGGAGCCAATGGGTTTCTTACATTAGAAGTGATCAGAAGCTAGTGAGAGAACAATTGAGAATTCAGAAGACAAATCCCCAAAGGAGGTGGTTTGAAACCCCCAAACAGGTGAACAACGAACCCTGATGGTGATCAGAGACTTGGAAATCAAAAGCCACCACATGGGGGCAATTACAATCTCATCATCTCAAATAAATGTAGTGTCCACAAGGGTAAGATGAACAGCCACTGAGTCAAGAAACAAACCCCTGCCACCTCTGTGAGAGAAGATTCCAGATCCCCATCTCTGCATCAGCACCACCTGCTCTTCATTCAGGAGCCAGCCCAGAACTCCTTCCAACTCCACCAGTATGCAGAAATGCCAGAAATCTCAGAAGTAAGATGAGCTCCTGGGAAGGACTCAGATAACGCATCCTTCTGTGTGGCTACTAAGTTGTTTACAAGGCACCATGGAGAACTGAAAATCGTTGTGCTTAGAAGTTAAATTTGATTTTCCATGGTAGGATATAAAGGGCCGCACCCCAACTGCAGTACATGGACAGTGTAGATGTCAGTATAAACAATATTGCACCTGATCCTCCTCCTGGTGTGGGGCTGGTACTTGTGTGGTTATCGGTGCTCGTTTTTGTGTATCTTTTCACATGTTCTGGTACTTTCTGAATAGTGTGTGGTGGCTGTGTAGGTGTCTCTGTGTGTGCAGATACAGGGAAGCTTACACTTACTTTTCTTCTTTGATGGAAGGGAAGCGGTGGTGATTATAATGAATTAAATGTTTGTAGGCTTTCCTCAGAATTTCATCGATGTCTTCTGGCAAATTATTTTTATCCAATTTCCTAGAATTGATTTAAACACTATGCTGTCAAATCATCCTGTCATATTTATTAAAAAATTATTCTCAGGGAAATTCGTACATCAATGAACTCATGGTTCTTACAGTATGGAACTCTTAAAACATCCCTTCTCCCTTCATGCCTAATTTCCCAGGCAAATTTTCATGCCTCCTTAGCTTTCTCTTTAAAGGCAAAATTCCTTTTCTTATACCACTGCAGGGAAACTTCAGGAAAGTGTGTAAGGGCATGTCTGCCAAGCCAGCACTGTACCTAGGAGCCCCTGCTCTGTGACACTTTGGGCCTTAGAAGACTCTCTGTATCTCTGCATTATTGCCAGGAGGTAAAAACCACCCTGAAATAAGCAGGCCCCTCAGCTTCGAACATGTTCTGGTCTCCTCACTCTCCTCAGGACCAAGCATCCTGTAATCTCTGCAATCACCTCATTCTCCTCAGGATCAATCATACTGTAATCTCACTCTCCTCACTCAAACACACTATGGTCTCCTCATGGTCTACCTCAAGCTTCATCTGGCAGGACCTGTGAGAACAATCTGACTCAGTTGGGGACTTTTTTCACTTGCTGGGACTCTGATCACTCTGTTGGTGGCTTAACTCCCCCCCCTTGGTACTCAGTAATGGGAGTGGTAAATGGGGGTTACTTTAGAACCTCCCCCAGAAAACCCTAGTACCACCTCCTCTAGGGTACCCTCTACAGCTATCCCTAAACCCTAAAACTCCCCATCATTAACAAAAGGCATCTTAAGGGAGGGGACAGCTGGCCTAATCCCAGCCTGAGCTCAACTTTCCCAAAGCACTTACGCTTTTAGCGAGTTGATGTGGTAAGTGATGGAGAGACTTGTGGAATGCTTCTTCTCTTCCCTTAACTGATAATCATCCATTAGCTCATTACGAACCTGTCCAGGAATGTGACTGAATGTTACTTTGCATTTAAATAAGGAATTAGAGGTTCATTCAGATTTTGTGTCTAGACATTATTTTATTCCCCCTATAAAACTAATATTGTAACTAAGACAACTTCTCACTTAGTTTTAGATATAATTTATGCTGATTCTTATGCATCATAATTAACAGATTTTAGATACTTTGGGGCATGGTGCTATAGTAATTACTTGTATTTAACAAGTTTTCTGTTAATCTCTTTAAAAAAATTGATGCTGTTACAAAAGAAATATTTTAATAGTAATGAAAGGACTTTGCTTTTTCATATAGGGTGAACTGCCTATTCTTTTCATTATATTTTTTCTTGTTTTGTTCACGTGTGTGTGTGTGTGTGTGTGTGTGTGTATGTGTGTGTGTATTTATAATCCTCAACAAATGGACTTATTGTGGTTTCGTGCTTAGTCTCTGAACAATGACTTCTAAGAACGCCACTTCTTGCCTTTCCTTTTAAAGTGTTCACTTACCATGATTGAGAACATATACCGGTACTTGTGTGGCACATGGGTTTTGATGAAGGGTGCAGCCGTCAAGCAGAACTTGGCAGCCTCCTCATTTCTTCCTGCTTGCAGGTAGCATTCAAGAAGTTCCCTAGACAACAGAAAACAGCAGTCATTAGCCTTCTTAGCTGTGGCAAATCTCTAGGAGCCAGGTTCTCAGGCTTTTGCAAACTCTGTTTCACAAACTTTCAAAAGTTTCCCAGGGAAGCGCCTGACACTTGCCAGGACCCATGGCAAGGCCAGCAGGAGCGAAGCTACCAGCATTATAATTATCAAGGACATTTCCAGATGACTCTTTGAAGGAAAATCTCATTTGCATTAACTTTCTCTTAGAGATTCCCAAAATGGTCACACAGAGGTACCCCAAGCCTGCAGACTGTGGTCTATCCCTGAGCTGATATCTTTGGTGCTGGGATCTACATTGTCAAAAATCCACCTGGTCCCTTGCTTGTAGCAAGATCCCAACAAACCCTGTGGAAGATACCCTCTTGGTCTAGCCACCGACACTGTGACCAGGTGTTTGTTGGTAGTTGTGGCTTCGGAGTAGCAACCCTAGAGCTCCTGTGTAATGCTCATATTGGCACAGCTATTTGCCAAAGTGCCTACCAACACCAAAACCAAAACGACAGCAGCAACAACAAAACCCCACTACACTAAGGCTTTAAAAAGCATGGGCCAAGACTACTTACTGTGTTACATTTCCTTTGCTTTGAACCCTGATGCATTTCTAAGGCCTGTTGCAATATCCATAGATTTCTAGAAAGAACATCCTGACAAGTCAGGAACCCAGCCCTTTCCCAGAAAGAGAAAGAGAGGTACATATGGCTTGGGTCATAATAAGCTTAGGACTTGCCCAGGGCGGTTAAGGTCTACTGCCCCCACTCACACCATCAGCTCTGCCTGCCATTCCTTGTCCTCTTCTTCTGTCTGGTTTAACACGTTGATGATTTGAGAGAGGCTGGGGATCACATACTGGTGGTATCCAGGTTTGAGAAATGGCCGCACCATGTGCCAATAGAGAACAGAAGCATTGAACACCAAGAAGTGATACCTAGGTAGGGAGTGGACGTCAGAATACTAGAGGCATAGGGCTGGGGAAACCTGATTCCTGGACCCATTCAGGAGGGAAGAGGAGGTGTGTCCCATCACCATCAGGTAGAGGTGCCTCATTTGATGCATTTCTCTCCAATCTGCATCAGCACCAGGATGCAAAATCACCCTCCCCACCCCATGACAACCCTGTTCCACATGAGCTGTGGCCATCTCACAGTAGTGATGACACAGTACCTGTCTGGACCTGTTCTGGTCATAAAAATACAGTCATAGGCAAGGAAGAGAGGGCACGGGAAGCATCCTGGAGGAGTGGCATCCTACTGTGACCAGGAAGAAGTCCAAGGACCAGCCGGGAGCCGAGTGGTCAGAAGATGGTCAGACACAGTGTGTTGCAGGTGGAAGTGAGGGACTAATGACAAACTCCATGTCTGAGCACAAACCCTTGAGGAGGTGCTGAAGGTGTGTGAAGAGGCACTTTCCAGGCCTCTCCCTCTGAGTGGCAGGGCATCATCTGAGGGGGTCACAGAGGGGAGCTGCAGGACTTTCTTATGTACAGCCATGGTCTGGAGTGGGCAGCCCTATCACTGATTGGTCATCAGAAAGGACATTGCTGCTCATTACCCAGGAAGAATGAAGGGAAACCAAGGGGCCAGCAACCAAAGCAGTGAGTCCCAGTCACCCCTTGGCCCATCTATAGTTGTCTCCAAGACCCTTTCAGTGGAGCATGGCCAGAAACTAAAGGCTGTCTTTGGGAACATTCATTCATTCTGCTAAGATCTCTGGTGCAGTGTTGGCTCCTGACCCCTGGAGGGAAGACCTATGGGACTAAACCTGTGCCCTTGTACCTATGCAGTGTGTAACCTGAGAAGGCCTTTAACAGATGAGCAGTGGACTCAGGCAGCATGAATGAAAGCTTCTTCTAATGTTGGGTCCCACTGAGTGTATGCCAGTGCCAGTGTATGCCAACTTCACTTTGCAGTAACTGAATTTGGGTTTGGGTGGGAAAAAGACAAGCACCAAATAGAAAGCTGTGCTAGAGTCTTGCAGAGCCAGAAAGAAGCGCAGGGGACAGGAAGAAGTGCAGGGGACAGGAACAGGTGCAGGGGACAGGAACAGTGCAGGGGACAGGAACAGTGCAGGGGACAGGAACAGGTGCAGGGGACAGGAACAGGTGCAGGGGACAGGAACAGGTGCAGGGGACAGGAACAGTGCAGGGGACAGGAACAGGTGCAGGGGACAGGAACAGGTGCAGGGGACAGGAACAGGTGCAGGGGACAGGAACAGGTGCAGGGGACAGGAACAGGTGCAGGGGACAGGAACAGGTGCAGGGGACAGGAACAGGTGCAGGGGACAGGAACAGGTGCAGGGGACAGGAACAGGTGCAGGGGCAGAGGAACCCCAGGTGTGCCCTTCCCCAAAATCCAGGAACAAGGGTGTCTGTGGGGCAGGTTGGGAAGGAGGCCATAGAGAAAACATTTTGACAGCCAGCCACAAATCTCAACAAGTCATCCAAGCACAGCAAAGGATGCCACTTCTAGGAAGGCTGCATGAACATGGCTCATTTTCCAAGTAATAAGAGAAACGTGTGTCATAACTCCATTAAACACAAAACAAAAAGGAGAGGGATGGATGATAGTACAAGTATATAACATCACTTGGTACTTTGGGGCACCAAAGTCTTATTCAGTTAAGTGGAAGCAGGCAGTTTAGCATGCCTACCTCTGTTCTCCTTTTGCGAAGTTAATAGCCTTCATGTACTGAGTCACACAGTTTTCAAACTCCTCCTAAAACAGCACCAAGGAATGCTCAGGTAAGCCACTTTTGCCACCCAAGCACTCATCATCTCTCATCTCCATATCTGTCACTAAATGCAAACTGCTTGGCACCCTAGCTTATGCACAGTTGGGGTACAGTGGAAGACTCTTGAGAAACCACAGTTGGCTGTGCCCAATGGGTGCCAGATTCTCCTAGTTCCCCCTTTGCCCAGCTCAGGGAGGGCTGTGGCAGAGAGATGACAGGAAGGCCATAGCACTGTTGCACAGAGACTGAAGGTCAGAGGGACTCGTTCCAGGCACTGGCAAGTGTTCTGTGGACAGAAAAGCACGAAAAGGAACTGCAAACATTCTGGGAGTCTGGCTCCTCAACTCTACCTTGCTTCAAAATTACTTTTTTTTTCTTTTAATTTTATGTGCATTGGTGTTTTGCCTGCATGTATGCCCATATGAGTGTGTTGGATACTCTGGAACTGAAGTTACAGACAGCTGTGAGCTGCCATGTGGGTGCTGGAAATTGAACCTGGGTCCTCTGGAAGAGCAGCCAGTGCTCTTAACCGCTGAGCCATTTCTCCAGCCCAAAAGCAACTCTTGCTGCCATCCCTGAAGATGGGGTGGAAAAAAGAAGGGGGTGCTCTCACCAGGTTTTCCTCTGACTGTGGGGCATAAAGCTGGGCCCTGCACAGGTGCGCTCGACCCAGAAACTGAGTGACTGGCGCCTTGACTTTGAAGTACATCTGGATGCAGTCATCACTCATCTCAGGCTCCCCCATCTGTAGGGCATTGAAATCAGGGGAAACAGGGAAGATGCCCAGAATAAACGGGCTTTGGATCACTGTGAGACTAGCTTGGTTATTCCCATCTCCACAACACTCATCAGTGTCCCACCCACCCTTCTCTGTGCCATCTACACCCCAAAATGGGGGAGGGGCAGGTTCTTTGTGTGCCAGTGCCAGCCAGGCCCGGGGCTCTACCTTGAGCGCCTGCTCAGCACACAGCACGAAGAGGTCCGGGCTGAAGCTCTCTGAGGGGTCGAACTCCGACTTTCCAAGGTTTGCTGATTTGATCAGCTCATAAGCTCGTCGCAGGGCAGCTGCGTCTATCGGGCAGAGGATCAGCAGAGGGTGTGTCAGAGGGACACAGTCCCAGAGAGAGCCTTCCTCTGGCACAGAAACACCCGTCCGAATTCCTGCCAGGTTGCCCACAACCCTCCCAGCTCAACAATCAGGCCAGGCTCAACAACTGTAACCACCGCATCACAGAAGACCCTTCTACTGGGGTCAAGAGGTTCCCATCAGCAGAGCTAGGATGAGACCCACCTTGATGGTTCTGGGCATGGACCAGTTCCTGCGTGATGACCAGGTCCATGGCTCCTAAGGCCGGCAGCTAGACAGCTGCTTCGCTGCAGCGCCGGTTGCAGTTGCCTAGAGACGGACCCAGACTGAGGACGCGGGAGCTCGGGGCGGGACTACACTAGGGGGTACCGTGACGCCAGTAGAGACGGAGAAGGAGGCAAGAAGTGGGCGGGGCGGGACTGGCGGACACTGAGTGAGGTCAAGAACTGTTGAATTGGTACCAACGCCCTGCTTGCCTCAGTTTCCTCGCCTGGCTGCACACACCTCCCATCCATCCACCCATTCTTCAGTGTCCAGCTTTGCTGCGTCAGGGAAAAGATGAGCCCTCCACAAAACTTTCCTGCTCTGGGTGAGCACGAATTTGACGCATGTATGCAAAGATCAACAGAGAACGTCTACAGGAGCAGAAAGGAGGGCTGCTGGATACCGGCGGACAGGGAAGCCACCAGCCTGGGAAAGAGTCTCCCTCTATATCTTCAGGTGTCACCTGTGGCAGGTCTACATGTGACATCGATTTAAGCCTTTAGGAATATGAGGAGTGAAAACTGGGCAGATCTGCCTATAGCTGCGGTCCGGGCAGACGCTCCATTGCAAGGAATTGTGGGGTCAGGGAGGGTGGGAAGACGCCTCCTAGACTCTAGGTCCTTTGGGCGAGGACGACTCTCGGAGAGGACTCCCACAAGGACACAGCAGTCTCGGAGGTCCTATCTGAGACAGAGCTCTGGGCTGCAGATGGGGCTGTGCTTCAGCAGTTGAAAAGCAATAGTGGGTGGGCAGCACTATCCTCCCAATAGTGGTGGGAGCATCAGAAGCATAGACAAAGATGAATATGGCTCTAGAAGCCCAAATGAGCATTTAGCACCGAGTGCAGTGCAGGACAAATGTATCCAAGAGTTAAGGAAGGAGCCGCAGTCTCCAAGGCCACGCCTCCAGTGACCTACTTCCTCTAGCCAAGGGCCTCCTCTCAAAATAGCGCCACCTGCTGGGGCTATGAGTCATCACATGAACCCGTGAGACCTTGGCAGACACACACACACAAAAAAAAACCACACACACACACACACACACACACACACACACACACACACACACACACACACACACACACACACACACACACACACACACACACACACACACCACAAAGGGAGAAACAAATTGATCCTCAAAAGTAAAGCCTTCTTATCATTGAAAGAGGCTGCTAGGAAAATGAAAAGGTAGAGTACAGGTTGGGAGAAAAACATTCACAATAAAATCTCTGATACAAGACCAAGAGTTCAACAGATAACTCATAGAGAAATTTAAAAGATGCTGAAGACTTGGAGAGACACATGACAACGTGAGATACAAGACTATGCAGAGAGCACGGAATGAGTGCTGATGTGGTCAGTAATCAAAAAAAGACAACACCAAGCGGTCTCCCACATTCAAACCCATCACTGCAGCTAAAATCAAGCCTGATGAAGACAAACAGCTGCATTTGCCTCACAGCTGGTGGCAATGTAAAATGACAACCCACAGAAAACCATTAGCTCCAAGTAAACTGAGGCATGTACTTGTCTCATGACCCAGAAATTCTCATAGGTGATTGCCCTGAGGGATGGATGCATCTACCCTTTGAAATCCTGTAGAGTGTTCTGTCTGCTTTATTTGTGATAGCCCAAGGGTAGAAATGACCCAGATAGCCAACAAAAACCTTGCTAAGGATGGTCAGTTACACAATGGGCTCAGCAATAAAAGGAACAGAGGAGGAGTTGATCTGAGGGAAAAGGGAGATAGAGGGAGGGGCTGGGAGAAGTGGGGGAGGGGAAACTGCAGTAGGGATGTAATATATGAGAGAAGAATAAAAGTTAAAAAAAAAAAAAAGGATGAACCTTGGCAGGCAAAAATACCATGATGAGCAATGTGGAACAGTGGGGTCCAGCCCTGGCAGCATCTGGTGTGTGTGTGTGTGTGTGTGTGTGTGTGTGTGTGTGTGTGTTATGTGCATGTTGGTGAGCTATGAAGGCTTCACATTGAGAGACTGGGGCATTACATTCAGACTTACTGTCAGCTAGGATTGATGGCGAAATTCTTGTTGGGGGACACACACAGTACATGGTCGCCAGACCTCAGAAGTTGGGATTGGTCTTTTAGTTGGGGTTTATTTTCATTTTCCCTCCATGAGGGAACCAAAGGAAACTCAAAACCCAAGAGTTCTATTAAGGAACTCCACCTAGAAGGGGGTGCTATGAGACTGGAGCTCCCCCTGGGCCCTGGGCAGCCCAAGGACTGAGATGGCTACCATAGGGGTTTTGCTCTGGGAAGCTGAGGCATCTCTGAGGTACTTTCTAGAATTTAGGAATGCGAAGGGTAAAGGTCTGTTGGGGGTGGCCACTGATGAGTGAGGGACACATACATGATTGGGGGAGAGTTATGGCTCCAGCTACTGCCCGGTATCACTGGAGCTTTGCCTTACGTATGGCCATCCAGGGAAGGGATTGGAAGTATGGATTCTATTGAATTTGGTCTCTTTTGTACCATGAGGTGGAAAAATCCCATGGACCATCTGTGTGTGGGTATATAATAAAGTTGGGTATGCTTGATACAATTTTGAAATCTAAATGTCACATTTTTCCAAGGATCCCAGAGCAGTATTCCACCCTCGAGGTAGAAGCCTCAAGTCCCTCGAAGTTAACCATCTCTCTACTCCTAAGACAACAAACAGTTGTGGGTCTCTGTCTATTCATAAAGATTCTCCATAGTGTGTGTACAGCAGGAAATATAAAGTTATTCACTCCCACCAAGGAGACATCACTCACGCATTATGTAATAAGATATCAGCTTCCAAATCCAAGCATATCAAATATTAAAACTCATTTTCTGGTTCCATAATAGCTGTAAATATGAAGAATATGACACAAAAGTTTTTTCTTTTCTCACTAGACCTGTTCCATTTTGCCATGGACCACTCGGGTCAACCCTTGACTCCAAGAGTGTGACACTGGAACTCACTTCCCCTTCTTGCAAATTCCACCCATGTCCTTTGTCCACAGAAGTGCTGGGAATAGATCAGGGCCCCATACTGACAGCAGAGACCCTGGTGTCAGGCTCTTCCAAGGTAGAGCCACCCGGGATTGGGGTTCGCTGGCTTTTATTTGAGTTGTTCCTCATACTCCTCCCTGGCTCTCAGATGCCCAGCTGTCACTGGCACCCACCCCAGCAGGAAGTCTTTAACACCCTTCCAGGTAGTCTTGAGGTCAGCATCTAACAGGAAGACAGTCGCCAGCCTTTCTGATGTGAAATGTTGTGAGGTTTCCTCCCCCCAGGAGACATTCCCACCCCCTGGGTGGGGCCACTGGGTGGGGCCACTGGGTGGGGCCACAGGCTATGACAGTGTCAACAGGCACTCTTCTTTGAGCACAAGTTACTAGGAGTCTCTACACATCCATCTAATGTGGTTATGACTCCCTGACTCCTCGAAGGTTCAGTATTTTGCCAGAGCTCAATATGTCCAAGAAAACAGACACCAAGACTCTCCTCCCCATGCCAGCTGGCAAGCAAAACTCCAGAAGGTGAACACCCAAAGTGCACCTGGAATTCTTGCAATGGCAAGAAAGAGCAAGAGGGACACTGGCCACTCTCAAAAGAGTGTGGTGCCTCTCTCATCTAAGTGGTTTCCCAAGTTTGGGAGGGAGGGTCTGCGGGCATAATTGGCTCCTCTAGGGAGATACAAAGGTGACACCCTGGTCCAAAGCATTGGCCCTTTTCTTCCTGACACAGCCCATCCAAACTGCCTAAGGTTTACCTAGCTCACCACCTCCTGCACACATCTCTGCTGGTGGACTAGATAGAGCCTATCACTGGCTGGATGTCCCTTGGAGGAAGTGGACTGCTGGTCTGCATCTCCCACACTAGGAAGGAACAGCTGATCAGAGGCCATCAGGAGACACAGAGGTGGGATCCATGGCCTGCATCAGAGGGGGTCATGGACATGGAGAGGAACTCAGCCTGTCAGTGGGCCCTCCAAGTTATCACCTGTGTGTGCTGAGTGCACATGCATATGTGAGTGTGTGAGTTCAAGGTGTGTGTGTGTGTGTGTGTGTGTGTGTGTGTGAAAGAGAGAGAGGGAACATGCCTGCGTGCTGTATGTGGGCACGAATGTGATTATGTTGATGTGTGTGACTGTAGATATGTGAGTTGTATATGAATGTTGAGCAGTGATGTGTATGAACACAAGTATGTGAATGTATACAGTGACAGCGTGCAATGTAAGTGTTCATGAGTGTGACTGTAAGAGTATGCATATGACCTGCTGGCCCAGGAAGCAGAAGGATAGTCCCCCTACCCTCAGATATTACAGAGTGTGTGGAACCAGGCTCTGGGTGGTGGGCAGAAAACAGGTACAGAAAGTCCTGCCCCTCCCCCCAGACCAAGTCTATACTTGGTCATCCATCAGGAGGAAGAGACTGGTGACTTAGGAACCGCGAGAGGAACATGGAGCAGAAGGAAAAGTCCACTTAGACTCCATCTTCACCTGTCTCAAGGATCATCCCCAGAACAGAAAGGACATTGCCTCCCTGGGCATATGGGTTCCTGCACTTCCCTACTGGGCCATGGGAGGGCTCTGTAAGTCTACCTTCCAAACACAGTAAAAAGCATCACATCTAGCAACCCAATATGTGGCTTCTCTGAAACCCTAACACCCCAACTTCTCCAGCATGCCAATGTCCCCAGCATCCCCAGGATCTCAGCATCCCTTTTATAATTTTCCAACATCTCCAGTATCCAAGTGTCTCCAGTATCCACCATCCCAGCACACAGCGTCCCTGATATCCAGTGTCCCCAGTACCCCAACACCTGGCATCCCAGCATCCTGAGTACATGGGGTGTTTCTAACACTACAAACTTCTCAGAATCTCCAGGAAATGTTCTTATGGCTCCTGCCACCTCCTGCATCTCAATCTGTGTCTTTCTTCATTTATCAAACTTGTCCGTTTCATCTCTGATTTATCAGTACCCCTTCACAAAGGAATATGGCTCATACTGGCCACAGAAACCTTCTACTGCTCTTCTGTCCCAGTGGGACCCACCACCTATTCTGGGTCAGCCAGGTACACATGGGGCACCGG